TATACCAATCTCAACGAATTTAAAAAGTTAAAATAAAAACTATATTTGAATTATGAAGCAAAACCATTGGGGAAATACAATTTCTCTATAATTTATATATAAGTCTAATTTTTCTAGTAGTACCCTCATATATGTCCTAACTCTATTGGATCACTGCAGTGTATACTTTTCAACTCGAGAATATGACCAAAGTAGCGACATTTGAATATTGTAAACACATGACATATACCTACATAAGTACAGGTTGGTTGAAAAGAAATATATTTTTTTATTCAATATAATCTCCCTTAACTTCAATACACTTATTCCAATAATCCTCTAATAATTTTATGCCATCCCTATAATGCCTACCTTCTCACGAATTTTTTCATCCAGTCGATCCAAAAGGCTGCAATAATATTCAAAGTTGATTGTTTTACCTTTCCGTAGATAATCAATCAACAATTTCTTTTTCATCCCAAAAAACTGATAGCGTAGCCTTGTTTGCTGATAGTTGTGACTTCACCTGCTTTGGAGCTGAAAAACCAGCTTCAGTCCACTGTAAACGTTCTTGTTTCGATTTAGGATCATAGTTATAAAACCACGCAAGAAACCGTTTTTATTCTGCTTAAAACGCTCCAAATTATGCTGAGAAATTTATTTTCGATCCAGTTTTTGTTGAATTGTTAACGTGTGCGGCACTAACTTTCCAAACAGTTGTTTCATATGTAATTCTCCATGTATCCATGCATCTTCACTAACAATATTATGAACTTGCTCAATGATTTCTGGTGTGGTTGCGGTATTTTGTAGTCCTTCGCGTGGATCGTCTTCAAGCCTAGTACGACCACGTTTAAATTCACCAACCCAAAATTCAACGGGGCGTTTTGAAGGTGAGGACTCTTTATACACTTCTAATAATTGTTCATAAATTTCCTTTGCTTTTAAACCTTTCAAAACAAAGAATGTAATCACTACGCGACACGTCAACTTCAAATGGCTTCTAAACAAAGAATTAATTGACAGAATGACTTGTAATTCTGCATGTGTTCTCATGACAGATGTACTAATTTGGAAATTGGAGCTAGTAGTTAGTAGTACTATTTCTTGGTGAGACCAACCAACTTTTCAACCAACCTGTACGTATTTACACATTAAAAAGGCGAAAAACAAATTAGGCTTTAACACATCAAAATAGTTTAATGATCTTTTTGAAAATGTTTAAATGCAAATAAAATTGCAAGATCGCATAGGAGTGCTAATTGAATAAGTTCCATGTGTTACTAAGCGAAAGTGAAGAGCGCACTTGATCTACATGTACAAAGAAGCTAACTCTGCCTGACGAACGAACCAACAATTAAAAGTGTATAATGTTCAGTTAATTTGCGCGTATTTGAGAAACGAGTTCTTAAGCGTCTGCAACAAGTAATAAAGAGTGATTCTCAATTTGCTGATGATAAGACAATTTACTTTGAAGCATCGCAAATAAATAATAGGGACGAATATATAAGTGTAATAAATTATCATATTGAAGGATATTTTCAATATTATTGACGGTAGCAGATAGATAACCACACTCGAAGAACTCACACCTCACACATATGTACAATGTATGTTCGTACAGTTTTAGCTAAAAGGCCGTTCAATCACCCCGAATAATTTGCTTTAAGCTGATTAATTTGCATTTAAACGCCGAAATATTTATATTTTATATTTGTCGCCAAATTTGAGATGCATACAAAACAATGTATTCAATTCTTGCACCACGAAGTTAAAAATTCACCACAGTTTAGAAAAACGAAAGCGGTTACAAACTTGAAATTAAGCCAATTACATTATATATAGAGTACAATGAAAGTGTTGATTATTCATTACCGAATCAAGTGCAGCAAATCCAGAAAATTCATAGTAAGTTTTTGTATTTTATTGTATATATGTAGATATGTAAATACCACTTGTTACTTATTACTTATTACTATTTTCTCTATGACTCCTTTTATATACTTGAAAAAGGGCGGAATTTTCAGATTCAGCAAGGTAAAGGTGATAAGTTTCATAAACGAATAACGAAAATTCAGTGAAATGTTTATGTGTCGACCGAAAGGGGGTGGAAAAACGCACGCACCAAATTCAGCTGTTGCAGTTGCAATTGAAGGAGCAATGATCACTTATAATATTAATTTTGACTCGAAATATAAAGAAAAGTGCACAATGATTTCTCAGAAACGAAACCTGCAGTTTTTATTTAAAAAATAATAATTTTAATTAAAAAATACGGCCATTTAATGAAACGTCTCCTTAATTGAAAATTTCAATTCTTTCGATCAGTTCTCGATTGGCAGTGATGTCATTTTCATTTCTGTGCATTTTTGCGCATTCAAATAAATATGCAAAGGAATGACACTGTTGCAACTTATGCATTCTACTCTTGTACGACTATGTATGTACATATGTACATATATGAACACTGACTTCATTCTTCAAACATTAATTGAAAATGCAAAACAAAGGAAACACAAAAACGAGACACAATAAATAAATAAATGAAGTCATAATGAAAATAAATTAACAGTAAACAGTGAGTTGCAAAGCGTAAAGTAAAAGGGGAATTCGCAAATAAATATAAGTTCGGGTATGGAATACGCTTATTAAAGACTCGTGTATACCATAACCATATATACATATGTATGTAAGAGCAGTAAAGGCAAACAAGTGTGTAAAATTTTGTGTAGGTTCATCGGCACACATACACCCATTTACAAATGTAGTATCTATATGTACGAGCATGTACAATGTAGTAAGTGAATACGGGTCAGTTAAGTGGGGGGTGGTCTGAGCATGTGGGACTACCACAACGTGCAGACCTTGTACTAACTGCCGCATCGAGTGACAACCGTCCGCCAAAAGGGAGCATCATTTCACAGCACTTAGACCTGAAAAGTCAACAAACTCTGCTCACACTACGGAAAGCTTAAAGAAGAGGAGGAATTAAAATCAGATTTTAGACAAGTAGAGTCACACATACATCCATTCATAGTTTTAAGTAGCGGTATAAGGCATTGGGTGCCATTTCTGAAGGATGCTTAAAAATTTAATTAAACTCTCAAAAACACCAATGAATACTCTCACCAATAGTATGATGAATCTGGACAAACTCTAGCTTACTAACTCCCTTAATTAAAGTTAGTGTTGCTTCATAAAATAATTTAATCAAATTTTTTTTTTTCGTAATTTTGGCTTTCTCTGTTTATGGTATACGAATTTGCATCGGTTTTACAGTGCCCTTAGTATGTAGGTTGCCTTTTATATTTCGGGAATAGGCAACCCTAGTGTTGCAATCTGCCAACTCGCAATTTTATCGTAAAGTTTGACACTTTTGATGGTATACATACTCAGAACGTTTTGACATACCAGCGCTATTTGTGTTGTTTACAGTAACTTAAATATTAATCTCAGCCAAAGAATGGTATTAAATCTCAAACATTTTCGATGATCTTAATTAAATTTAATATTGCATGAACATTTGAATATAAAAAAAATGTGTTCACGTTGGAACTGGACATGTCGCAACCATACCACTAGAACAACGCAGAACATTCGTTTCTGAGTGGTACACAACCATTTGTTTGACAGTTATGTGCCAAGAAATCAGGAAAACCAACCGCCAAAGACGGATCACTCTTCACCACGACAATGCGAGCTCTCATACATCGACTGAAACAATTGCATTTTTGAGCACTCAAAATATCGGTTTGATGAGTCATCCACCGTATAATCCTGACGTTGCAACGAAGCTATATATTCTTCACGAATAAAAAAGTTTCCATACAAAAACTGGCTTCCGATCGTTCAATTTGTATGGCAGATATATGCCAGAGAGGACCGATATCGGCGGTTGCTAGAAATGAGCAGCTACGTGGGGAGAAAAGTACGTGTGCAAAATTTCAAATCGAGGTCTCAAAAACTGAAAGACTGGTTCACGTAGATACAGACAGACATCGACTCAGCTCGTCCCGCTGATAATTTATATACATATATAATAAATTTTATACTTGTAGGTTCTTCGACATTTCCTTCAGGGTGTTACAACTTGGTGGTTAACATAATATACCTTGTTCGGGGTATAAATATAAATATGTATGTTTTTATATAGGTCCAAACATACTATTTGTAATCTCGTATTAAAGCAAACAAAAACAGCAAAAGTTAAAGGCAGCGACCTCCAAAAAAGCTAAAAATGGCAACATTTGAATTAATTCCATTCAAGATTGCGTTGACTGCACGCTGGCTTTATTTACTGCGTATGACTTATTTAATACACAGCGATACGAAATAAATTACACACAATTGGAACCACTTCAAGTAGGGCCTTTGTCCATGCATATAGGATATGTATGCAAAGTCTCAAGAAACAATAAACGCCGACACTTTTCCAACCGGAGCAGTCTGGTAGCGTTTATTGACTTTACAATGCACTCGTACACAGTGCCAACTACGCCAGCGCAGCAAACATGAAGCGGAAGTGCCACTTTTGGTTCAACATTTCGTTTCTAGTGTTTTAGTATCATAATTGTGGTTATTGTTGACATTAATGTACATAACCGCAATGCGAATACATATATACGAGTACACGTGTATCTATATCTATATACCTATTATGTTATTGTGCGCAAATGTAACACTCACACTCAAATGTAAAATATGTACAAATATTCAACCGTAAATAACCTGGTGAGGGCCCAAGGGGACGCTCCATCGACCAACTGATTACCAAATATTTTGTTCACGCACTTCTACAAACATACAATTAAGTTAATTCAAATAAACGGTATAATTCGCACTAGAAGCGGATGCGTTGACCATATTTTCTGCAAAATTTATAAGTAAACATTTAAATTGAAACGGCCGCTCGAAAAGGGCAGCATATGAACTCGAATATCTCTAAATTAATACATTCTATAAATACTTATGTATGTATGTATATATTTTTATTACCAATTTGTTATTTTTATGGTAGCTACCTTTATTTTTGTTCTCAGTAAATCAAAGAGTTGACATTATCTAGAATGGAAATGAAAAGAAATCGGTATTAGAAATCGTTACTCATAAATAATTACTTAAATTTAAATTTGTTGATTGCAAATATTTTGTTTTTATTTTGAATAAATAAATATCTATCGGGTACACTTAAAAACATACAATTTAACGGTATGAAGTGAGCGTTAAGATACAAATGTGTTGGTAGGGAACATTTGTTGCGAACGAGCCTTAATTTTTTTTCTGTATGGTTGACATGACATCTGTCAAACATATTCAATAACCTTACAGTCATAAAACAAACAACATCATATTTTTTCATTGTGTTGAAAATGTCAAATTTTGTACCGAAAAGTGATGATTTGCGGAAAGCTTTCATTTTTGTTTCCATTTGAAGAAAAGTTCTGCAGGGTCGCATGGAATACTTGCCGACGCATATGGTGATCATGCTCCATCCGAAGCAACATGCAAAAGATAGTTTTAACGGTTCAGAGATAATGGTTTTGATGAAATGGTAAATGAAAAACGAGGAAGATAACCAAAAAAGTTTGAAGACGCCGAACTGCAATCAATATTGGATGAAGATGTTACTTTGAATCAAGAGCAAATGGCAGCCATGTTAAATGTTGCACAACAAACAATGTCATACCGTTTGAAAGCTATTGGAAAGATCTAAAAGTGTAGTAAATAGATGCCACATGAATTGAATCAACGACAAATGGAAAACCGAAATAGCACTTGAAAAAGTTTGCTTCAAAGACATGAAAGAAAATCATTTTTGCATCGAATTTTCACTGGCGATGAAAAGTGGATTTATTTTAAAAACCTTAAACGGAGAAAATTATAGGTTAATCCGGGACAACCATTAACATCTACTGCAAAAACAGATCGATTCGGTAAGAAGGCAATGCTCTGTTTGATGGGATCAGATAGGTATAGTATAACAAGAGCTTCAAAAACCAATTTGAAATGCATTGATCAACAAACGATCAGACTGGACCAGAAGACACGGCAAAGTTATTTTGTTACACAACAATGCACCTGGACACAAAGCAAAATCGGTTCAGGATAAAATCAAAGTACTTGGCTGGGAGCTGCTATCCCACCCACAGTATTCACCAGACTTGGCCCCATCCATATATCATTATATTTATTTATATTTTCATCGATGGGACACGCATTGGCTGAGCAGCACTTCGATTTTTATGCAGAAGTCGAAAAATGCTTCAAAAGAATTTGATTGGTTTTCTTCAAACGACAAACATTTCTATTGGCCTAGTATCCACAAATTGCCAGAAAGTTGGTCAAAATGTGTAAAAATCTATGGTTAATACTTTGGATACATTTTTTTAATTTTCTACTCCTGCAACTCGCAAGGATCAAACCCAAGAAAATATCTTCGCGTGTTGGCAAAACTTTATTTTAAAATATGTTTGGAAAGAATTTAACATTCATTAGTCAAATGGAATACAATCAAACTTGGTATTTTATTAAGTTATATTACAGGTTGCAGACTCACTTGGTTTTATTGCTATATGTATATTACTTCGCGTCAGCTAAAATTATATTAAAATCATCTTCAAATGAGAAATATGTGATATAAACTCAACCAAAGAGGCTAAATTCAACAAATTGAGTTGATATGGAAAAACGTCAACCAGAGGATCGAATTCATTATATTAAGGATATAATATTTAAGGCAAAATCTAGACCAACTCCATTCATATTTAACGCTAAACCATTAGTCTAATTTTATAATTTTTAAGTAAGCTTGACCACTTAATTTCATTATAATATCAGACAACGTAAACGGTTCAAAATCAGCTGAAAAATCGGAAATCATTATACAGGGTTTATTGGAGGCAGAGAAAGATCTGAGCTTGTTGCATTAACAGAACATATTTTCAAGGATTCTTATAAAAAAAAATAACAACTTACACACTGACCGACATATACGGTTAAGGTTTGTTAGAATAACGAAATTCATTATATGTAGTATGAGAATAATATAATTTCAAATTTTTGGTATTAAGTTATAGTATATCCAATATTATACGCTCAATTAATTTCGCTAAGATATCTTACATATATATCGATCAATAATATATACGATGTAAAGCCAACCGAAAGTTTGAAAATCTTATATTAGGTATATTACTACACATTGCCAACAGAAAAAGATGCTCTCGGAGTTTCAATAAGGTAACTCACATACCATCACCAATATATAAGGAGTAAAGTCAACGACATATGCATTAGGGCATTGATTTGTATATTGGAAAGTGAAAGAATCGGATGGAAATTAAAGTCGTGTTATACGGTATTGTAAAAAGCCCTCTTGTGCAATCTCGGAAGAAAAACGTATTTAGTTATTGAGTTATCGCACTTTAAGTAATTTTTAATAAAACCGTTATAGAGTTAATAATAGTTTTGTATCTTAATATGTGGCTTAGTTATGGTAATTTATAGGTTTTCGATTAACGGCCCATTTATAATACAAGAAACACGCGTGCAAAGTTTCATCAAGATATCTCAATTTTTACTTAAGCTACTGCTTTCACAGATAGACGGACGGACATACAGTCAACCGGATTTAAACTCGTCTCTACATTATGCATATATATAACTCTATTGCTATCTCTATTAGTTTTAGGTGTTAGAAACAATGGTTAGGTGAACAAAACTATTATACTCTGTTGCAAGAGTATAAAAATGATACTTTACCTATTACCATACGTCACAATTTTAAGCTTTCTTCTGACTCTTTCTATAACGACTTGCGAAAATGGCCGATTATTTTCATCGCTTCTTCGATTGAAAGTATATTTAAGAAGCAATGAAGACTACTAAAAGTTTTGTAATTTTTGAGAAGACGATATTAATTTTTAACACGTTGGAGCACGCATGTGCCCTTCTTTAAAATAGGGAGCGGATACATCATCCACAAACTTCCTGCTTATGGTACTTCTACAATTGTCCACAAGATTTGATCGAAAAATGCAGACATCCGCCCACATTTTCGCTGCAATTAAACACCCTGCTGTCAATGGCGGGGCATAACGAACTTTTGCATTTGCGAAATGTCTCGCTTCCAACTAAATATAAAATGCTGCTCCCGCTTTACATACTTGAGAGTTATGCAGCTGGATGCCGGATGCACATAAAAATCACGCAAGTTCACTGGGTACAGTTACACACACAAAGTGCCAAGGAAGCGCAGTGTTTCTGAAGAACTGAACTGTAGCAATATGAAATGAAACTGAAAAAAAGCATGGCAGACGGCGGGGACGGACGACATAGCACCTTGAGACTGCTGATGCAGCCAGTTGGCTTGCAAAAATAATAATGATGACGCAGAATTAAGTATCCAGAGTGTTGAGACGTAAACCAACATTATTATTATTATTTTTATTATTAAACCAACAGGAAATCGGATTGCCTCTAGGCAGTCGACAGTTACTTTAAGGAATAGCCATTCTCACGATCGCTTGTATCTGAAGACTAAAACTTAGCTACTTTATACCTAAAAAAACCGACCTTTACTATTTTTACTTAAATTAAAAACAAATTTTAAAAAATATTGTTTAAGACTTGCACTTTGAAGACTTTTGGACAATGGTGCATACATACATATCTATGTACATGGTGCAGTATATGCGCTGCACTTCACCACTCGACGCACAACTAGAGCAGCTCATGAGTGGCCCTTCGTAGACTAAGTTAAATGATAGGAAAACGGCGCACTTTAGAAGAAGAACAACAAGTCACCAAAGTAAGTGAGAATTTGCTTACAAGAAGCGATTATGTCGACTGTCAGAAGTGTCGGCTCAAGTGCAGCACATGACGCATGACTCAATCCGGGTTGTCCCAAGTCAGCAACGTAACACCGAAAGTCGAGATGTCAAGTGTGGTTGAAGTGGCAACTGAGCACTTGAAGACTATCATTGCTGCCACTCAAGCAAATTCAACAATGCATTAAACGCAAAGCTGCCAGCTGACTCTTGCTTCTACATATTCATATATACTATCTCTCGAATAACTAAACTTTTAAACCAAGGCACGAAACAGAAACTCTCATTGGTCCTTCATCTAACATTCACCAGTTCCAACAAAATATTCTACAACATCATAACTAAGGCTTTCGGCAATCTCGTATTTTGGCATTTTACAAGTGCACAAAAATACCTTCAACTAGGGGTATTTTGATCAATTTTTTATGACCCAAGTGACCCACAAAAACGTACTTTTATGCATATGTATCTTCATAATTATATATATTTTATGTTGACATCTTGTCTTGAAGAGCATTATAACATCATATACGATTTGAACCGGATTTGCACCACCACCAAGTAAACTTATGTATAATATAAGCACGTTTGAATGTATAATACATACATATGTACAGCCTAGAGAAATAATTACATACATACAATATGTTCACGTGTGTTGCAAGTTGATTTACGTTACGTAGTTGAACTATTGCTGCTGATGTGTCAAAGCATATTCACTGGTCCCTTTGCAAAGTAAAATCGAAATTTTATGCCGGACTATGATGATCTGAAATCATGCCAAACGGGTGCATTTTCAAACGAAATCAAATGAAGAAAGCAACATTTGGAGATATGCGCCCCCGAGGGCACTTCGCGTTGTGCGTCGGTGTAGCATTAGCACCCAATGACAATCAAAACAAATCATGCCTACAACGCTCGGTTGCACACATGCACATAGATACATATGTACATATGTATACCGAAATGTTAAGTTATAATAATAGAAATATATTATTTGTAACAGTAAGTCCAAATGACGTGAACGTCATGGTTCGGTGAAGTTGACATAGTGCGTCCGGTGGCACAGCGATTCAACCGACTACCTATTTTGCCTAATTTTACAATTGGAGTTAGAAGAAACATATAACCACTAACAAAAAAGCTCGAATAAACATAGATACATATACATATGTATATACCATATTTGTTTAACCTAAAAAGAATTTTGTTTGAGGGTTTGCACTGAGATCTTTCTCAACATTTCATCACGCGCGCACAAATTTTTCACACTCCGCCACCTAACTTCTCCAAAACCCAATAATTAGTTGTATAATGCCCAATTGTTCAATGAAATTATGTATGTATGTTAACATATTAATGAGATTCTTAAAATAAAACGGCATAAATTGGTGTGTCTGTTGCTGCTTGGCTGGTGCACAAGTGCAGGGCAACATTGGCTATTGCCTGCAAGATAAAATGTAATGAAATGAATGAGCTATGTTGTAAGCAATGGAATATTTTCACCTACTTAACAAATATCAAATAAAAAATAAAAAAATTATTTTGAGAACATTAAAGTGCTAAGAAAAAAGTTTTCATTTGTGTTTCTTAATCATCACAGTGAATTTTTATTCGTTTATGAACTCAACAATAAAATATAAAGTGTGTTGAGGGTGTTCACACTGACCCATGTACTAATGTGTTCTTTAATAATCTCCTAAATTTGACCAGTTTTCTAACAAAATCTTTATACTAGCAAAATATATATGGATGTATGACTGTCACCTGAAACTTTACTTGGCAAGTTTGGTTCGAATACGAATGTTTGAATGGCTTTGTTCTTGAGTTATTGCTTTGAATTTCGCTTCTATTGAAATACGATAGTACATTTGAACATATGTATGCGCATTTACATAAGAATCTTTATGTAAATATGTTTATGTGCATTCTTCTTTACGTACAAACAAAACTTTTACAGTGCTTTCGCTTTTTATTGATTCTTAAAATAATCTGTTTGAAATATGTCAATGGAAGTATATCGTGGACCATATACAAGTATTACCATATTTTCCAGTGTCGTTCATTATGTGTACGACGTATTTTTCAATCGCTTTCAACCTGCTTAACAGATGTGCGTTAATAATTTTCTAATGATTTAAATAATTTCGCAAAAAACGATATATAATATGTAGATGTGTTGCATATATGTATGTATATTGCAAAGATAAATAAAATTCATCCAGAAACTCGTATATTTTTGTGACGACACCAGAAATCTCTCTATTACATTATTACAAATTACTGCAATTGTAGCAATTATTCCAATATCTTTAAAAAAAAAAGCAGGTTTGCGGGGTCTCTCATTACTTGATTTTGAATCATCCGAAATCAAAAAATCAAAGTTCGTTCCTTAGATAATATAGCTCTTCAAAAAAAATATATTTTTTTGCACTGAATATCTTGTCAAATTTTAATGGTTTTAAGTGTTCAGATTACGAATATATTAATGAAAATATTGAATGTGCTCTTGTTTTTATGATACTTGTATCACGTGATCGTCACTCTTAGGCTCTTTACCGGAAATATGTGTAAAATTATGCGGAAGATTTTAAGGTAAAAATCAAACGTAGATATTTCTGAACCTACAACTTTCTTTGTTGATTTACGTGAGTACCTGCCGGCGACGGCCTTACTTCACGGTGCTCCAAAGCACAACGTATCAATACAATGCGTTGATAAGTGCCCCAAATAATACGAGCTATTTGCAAGTATTAATTTGGTTACCAGTGGCAGTGTGTCTGGGCCCCCACTACCATCTTGGTAAGATTCGAGGCCGACCTAAAACCTCATCGGTTTTCGGGTACGGAACCCAGTTGCTTTTTGCAACTTCTTTTTAGAACTGAAAAAACAGTTAGGTTGAATTTTCAGTTCTTCCTGGATTTAGGTTTCAACCACAGCCACCACGAATCTCCCCAAAGGGGCCATAACCCAATGAGCAGATTGGACCGAAGTCCAAGGGCTTTCTGCTCCCCGTGGTACCAGAAAATCTCCGGTAAGACTGTGTAGCCGAAACTACTGCCAGTTGAGCAACCCATTACTCAATGACTGGTGACATATGTCGCTTGAACTTCAAATGTCTTTTTATTTGGGATTTTATTTAAAGTCTATAATATCAATTCAAGCTGAGTATTATAGCACTATTTCTGACATCATTTACTATGCTGATAATTCTGGGCAAAATAAATTAAGTCATAGTGCATTTGGCTTTTAGTCGCCTTTTACGACAGGCATGCCTTACCGCGGGTAAATTCTTACCCCTACCCGCAGGAGGATTCTGAACCTACAGTCTACTAAATGTCTGGTTTTACTCAATGAAAATCCCCCTTTGTGTTTCAAAAGTAGTTCGCATGCTCTCAAAAACAATGATGCCGCCAAATTCCCATAAGTCGGTACAATCTATCAGTGGATGAGAAAGGGAGAGTGAAACATCTACGCCAAATTTATTTTCTCAAAATTAAATTAAAGCGATTTCAAAGCGTTGGACGTAGAAGGAAATTGTTTTGTTTATATTTGTAGAAAATGTCCCAAGCTTGGTATGGAAAAATTTAAACATGGTCAAGCTGCCATATTATTTTTGTTCAGTATTGTTTGGCATTTCATCTTGAAAAGACTTACGTCTGAACAACGTTCACAAATCGTTAAACTTTATTACGAAAATTCACATTCTGTAAAGAATGTGTTTCGCGCGCTTCGCTCAACTTAAAATCAACGTAATCGGGCTACTGACCGTACTATTCGGAACACCATCAACAATCTTGAGACCCTGCATTCATTATTGGATAATATTCGACCGAATAGACTATGTCCAGAACGCAGTGAAGAAAATTTAGCGGCCGTAGCTAAGAGTGTACACGAAGACCGTGGAGATTCGATTCGGCGCCGTTCGCAGCAACTCGGGCTGAGGTATGAAACAATTTGGCGCATTATACGTCGAGATCTTCAATTGAAAGCGTACAAAATACAGCTTATGCAAGAATTGAAGCCGCTCGACTTGTCGCGGTTTCAGCTCTATAGGCTCATGAAAAGTTGCAAGAAGATCCGACGTTTTCGAGCCAAATTTTGTTCAGTGATGTAGCCTATTTCTGGCTTAATGAGTATGTAAACAATCAAAATTGCCGCATTTGGGACGATGAGCAACCTAAAGAAATGCAAGAGCTGCCATTTCATCTAGAAAAAACAACGATTTGGTAAGGTTTGTGGGCCGGTGGAACCATCGGTCACTGGCGACACACATCGCATCAATCAATGGCTTTATTGAGAGAAAACTTCGGTGAGCAGATAATTTCACGTTTTGGGCCGGTCGATTGGCCACCAAGATCGTGTGATATCACACCGTTAGACTTTTTTCTGTAGGGATATGTAAAGTCTAAAGTCTATGCGGATAATCGCCCTTCGATTCAGGTCTTGGAACAAAACATCACGCGTGTCATTCGCCAGTTACCAGTCGACATCCGCGAACGAGTCATCGAAAATTGGACTCAACGGATAGATCATCTGAGACGTAGTCGCGACCAACATTTGAAAGAGATAAACTTCAACAGTAAATGCCAAAGAATGTTCTTTCGAACGATAATAAACATTTTCCATTATATTTGAATTTTCTGTGTTTTTTCTGTAAAAAAGTAAGGAACCTCGAATTGGATCAACCTATATAAATGCATATGCTTGGATTTATTTATTATATTGGATTTATGGTATAAGTAGCTTTCATTCTTTGTTTCCTTTGCTTTTTTTAATGTGTATATATGTACATATGCATTTGTATATGCATTTTTATTTTGGGTTGAGCATCAATAGTCTGACAGCATAAACACCTTCCGCTTGCTCAAGAAATTTACCATACAAATTCCGTAAAATAACAAAGAGCAATAGTATTACAAAAGCTATAACTCTGAAAATGTATGCTCACATATACATTTAAGGAACTTATTTAAATACAAATCGAACACATGTAAATTTGCTAGAACTTTACAAAACATAACCAACATAATTCCACCAGGCGCACAACCGACGTAAATTCAACAAATTGCTGTAATATACTGAACTAACTTTATTTTGTTATATATATTTTATTTGTATTATTTTCAATGGAAAATACCTATAAGAACCTGGCCGGCTCACATTTGATGTTGAGTGTATATAGTATGTACATATACACCTTTATACTACTTTCATAACTCAGTTAAATTACTATATAACTACAGACATATACATACATATACACTATACAATAAAATATCTATGGTAGGTCATTTAAAATATTTGTAAATTTTATATTACTTAGAACAGCTCCTTATTATAAAAATGTAATTTAACACCTTCATTTTCTGTCGTACAACAGACACTGTATCGGACACCATTGAGATGATGACATTATTATATTTTAAAGTCGCAATACATATAACCGTCACTTCGTCATCTCCAGTATAAATCAGTGCAGTAGAATTTTCTGGGTGATACCTTCATAGAACTTGTGAAAAGAGAATGGACATTTATGACAATTGTTTGAAAACGATACGTCTCTAACTATAAATGTATGTATGCATGTGTTTAAGTTGAGAAATTCTTTTAAACATCCACAGAATATTCTTTTCTGCTTGAACGTATTGTTATTGTACCTTAATATTTTTGCATATCGTATACCATAAGGTGGATACTATATACGTGTATGTACATACATACATAAGTATTTGCATGTTTAGAATATTATTCAACATACGTACAATAACAGTAAGGAAGAGTTGAATTCGGCAACAGCCAAACTTTATAAATATACTCCCGCAATACAAGAAATATTTAAAGGTGTCCATTTTTGACATCAAATCAGATTTTGATAATCGCCACATTCTCATCGCAGTATTATTGTACTTATACATAAATAGGTATAGTGTAAGTGGTCGGCGTATAGTAATAGTAATATATAGTAAGCTATCCTGCAACACTAAACTGAATATGAACTGTAATAAAATGCAATGCCGCTACTAAACCTGTTCGAGACGAAATGAAAATTTACGTCATTTTAGTTCTATTTCATCGATACAATAAACAGATACTCGTAAAATCAGGAAACAACTATGTGAATAACCAAACAAGTTTAAAAAAAAGTATATGACTTACCTTTTTCACAGTCTAGGCGGTAATTAAAAAATATTTTTCCTTTTTTTTTTTTTCCATTAGAACCAACTTTTAAATAACGAAGATTTGCACAATAAACCACTTTACTATTTGTAATAGTTTTATATTTTGTTTTAAAGCATGTTGTACAAATAACAACTTTTGAGTTAGGCTAAATTTTCACATTTTAAGTCAACGAATACTTGTGTATAAACAGGTTACACTCTTCAATATTATTTGCTCTTACTCCACTGCTTTGAAAGTAGAGAAGTGAATTACAATACTTTCCAAGCCAATAACCAAAAATATTAGTTATTTCATGTCTTATTACGCACAGTATCGGTTTATAGTTTACGATCACAAAAAAATTTTGTATATTAACTAAATTTTATTGTCATGTTAGAAGACGATGTTCGAATCAGAGATAAAGTTCGAATAAATCAAACTACTTAAAGGTTAACGTGAAAAACAAACAAATTTATCCGCCGCGTAAAAATAACAACACTCTATATGACATTTTACATTTGCAATTGCAAATGAATAAAACCTCCATTTCCACTGGAACCATGGGTTCAGAGTTGCAACTGTTGGGTACAAATAAGTACAATTTTTTATTACACTGAGTGCATTGTTTGATGCCATGCACTCAATATTCACTTTTCAGCACAGGTCTGTCAATGAGCTGCTTTTACTGATATCTGAATATTTTCCAGAGCAAATGCGTTAAAATTGTGATACTTTTTTACTCTCGTTAAGTTAACTTTTATTTAATATATCTCAGTAACTTTTAATAAAACTTATTTATAATACAGCCGATAACCCTGTTGGTGATGCTATAATGTTTTACAGGTAGTATAATTATTTATAATTGTAATTTCTTAAATTAAATAACTAACCAACACATTTTATAATAACCGTATTCAATATAGTATTATTCCTTAAGTTTGCTTTGCCTGTGAACTCCAAATTTAATTTTTTGTGTCGAATGTACATGTATTACATTAAATATCTCCCATTCAAAGATTTTATTTCTTTACTATATTGTTCATTCATATATATTTATATTTTGGTGGAACCTAAACTAAACGTTTCTGCCATTTATGTATACGCCTTTAGCTTTATGATTGCATATGTACCAACGGAACACCGCTACATCAATTGTGATTTTTTTTTTAAGAACAACTGTCAGAAGTTTTCCAATTAGAAGTTATGGAAGTGGAGTTGACAATTACTGATTCCATAGCAATTAAAATATTGCATGGGGGAGCAATACTTTCAGGTATAAATAGTATATCCTACACCATTATTTTATTAAATTGGTCAAATGTGTTATTTGCAGGTGTTGGTAATGAGTTACACCTGCATTCACCGAAAGTATCTAAATGTCTCGTGCTTGCGCAGAAATTGCGCGCTAAGGTACATGGCATTGCTGATGTGTTGTTGAAAAACGCAGCTTCTAATGAAGGAAGAATTATTGTACACGGCGAAAAAGAATGTATGTTAATGCAGTATGTTTACGACAAATATGAGGTGTAATATTTATGAATTATGTGCATGTTCATTTATGAAAGAAGCTTCTTATTTATAGTACACCTTTAGGGAACTTTCTCACTTTCGTCTTACTGACTGGATAAGCTCTGCTCAATTTCTTCAAAATCCAAATGAATTTGTTCTTCTTACGGCTCATAGTGTGGTTCTGCGTTTCCTTTATGAAGAAACCCCTCAACTAAAGTATTCTTGTAAAATTATAGCTAAGTCATCCTCCAATGAGAAATCCACACTTTATTGCTCCCATATGCGAGGCAGAACATGTGAGGAGTTGGTAATTTTTGGAGGTAGGTGTGCATTACTATCGTAAGTTGAAAATTATTAATTAGATAAAATTAGGGAATGCTTTTGGAGAACTTCTCATTTGGAAGCCATTTATAGCTGAGACGATTTCCCAAAAGATTGATTGCATTGAAATGCAAGTGGAATTAAAGCATAGACAATTAGCCCATAATGGAGTTATTTTTTCTATTGACTTTGATGATGAATCTGATTTGCTGACCACTACGTCAGATGATCGGTCAATACGCTTCTGGAAACTTGAAAGAACGCCAAATGATTCTTGGAATGAGATAAAACTTAATGCAATAGCTAGTGGATATGGTCATGTTGCACGCGTGTTTCAAGGAAAAATTATCCATTGCGGTGAATTTTTATTGTGTTTCATGTTTTCTTCATTTTTAATTTAATATATATATATATATGTATATATGTATTTTTCACAGATCGGAAACAAATGGCTGTGACCGTCGGAGAAGACTCTCATTTTTGTATTTGGAACAGTAACGCTAAGTTATTGTTCAAACAACGTATTCAATTTGGTGCAGTGATATGGAATTTCGAATACGACAAATATACACACACATTGTATACAGTCGGATCAACGGGGAACTTATTGGCATATAATGTTGAAGATGTACTTAGAAGGAAATCGGAGATTTTTTCAACAACTATAATTGTCACAGATTTAGAACCGAAGGAATATGTGGCGAAAGCGAAATTTCTCAAATCTAACATATTAGTTGGTATAACAAATAGAAATCGTCTTATGTACGCCCTGCTTGAATATAATGAGGAAAAGTATAAACATGAATGCGGTCCATGGCATATCATAGATATACATAAAAAATATAAGTGCACTGTATTTGAAGTACAAGACAACTACATTGCAATATGTGGCTACAAACAATTAACACTTATTAAGTGTTGCCACGGAAGCGAATTCAAATTATTATTTGATGACGATATACTTGACGGGGTAATACGTTCATTCCATTTTTTAAATAATAATTCGTTTTTGATTTCTGATGAAACTGGAAAGTGTTTGCTACTCGAAGGTGAAACCTTAGTGGTTCGAATCGCTGTTCCCCTACCACACAGCAAGGAACCATGGACAACAACAGCCCTACGTATACAAATAAAACAATTGAAAGATTATCTGTTAGTTAGTAATCGTATGGGAAACACAATACTGTTTAAAATTGATTATGAATCTGCTGGTTGCACATGTCTGGACACTATTCGGCATCTGCACGGAAAATTAGGTGCCACAATGTTTCACCTCCAAGAAGTTCAAAAAGGAGATATATTTATTCAAAGCGGCGGTCATGATGGATCATTGCGGGTGCTTTCCATACGAATTGAGTCTGACACGATTGTATCACATCAACGCACATTTGTACATGTAGCTTGGGTGGAGAAATTAGTTGTAATTGAAAACTATGAATTTCTTTTCGGATTTAACGATAACCATTTCGTGATATGGTCTCACGATCATGACATTTCCGTACAAATACCTTGTGGTGGCGGCCATCGCAGTTGGCATTACGATATAACTTCTGATAATGGGAGAAAGTTTGTGCAGCTATTATTTATAAAAAATAAAGAGCTAAGACTTCATAAGCATAAACTGTGCAATATCCTTTCTAAAAGTATGAAGATATTACGAAACCAGTGGCACACTCGTTCATGTAATATTTTGAATATAGTTGAGCCACGCCACAGTGAAGTACCTTTTAGTATAGCTGTAAGTGCCGGAGACGATAACATGATAAAAATATCTAAGCTAAGGCCTGGTGGTCGATTAGAGCAATGTGCGGAATTGCATTCACATATATCCAATGTGAGAGCATTAAAAATTTTACAAGTGCAACCAAATGCTGTTTTAATTTTTACAGGCGGCGGCCGAGCGCAACTGTGCATAGCGTTATTGGACCTAAAAGCTTTTCGTGTCCATGAACTTATGAGTTATACTTTAAATAAGAGTGGGCAAAGCCAAGACGAAAAGTCGCAAACTTACCAACCCGATCCGGAAACTCGAATAATGTCATGTGATGTGGTTAAAGTGAATACTAATAATTCAGGCAATAAAGTGGAATATTTTGTTTTCCTGTGTTGTTCAGACGGTTATTTGCGCAAAGTGCACATTAGTGAACTTTTTAAAGTTATATCCGAGGTTGCTTTATATTACGGCTGTTGTTTGCTGCAAGTACGAGCGTTCGCGAACTCTTACGTTCTAGCAGCTGGTACAAATGGAAAGTTACGCATGTTTAACTTGAGTTTGGTAGAGTTACCCATTGAACTGTCACATCACGCTAGCGGAGTAAATGCTATGGACATATATTACGAGCCTAACACCTACATGCTTTATATAATTACTGGTGGTGATGACCAGTCGGTTTCCTTTACATCTCTAGAAATTCAGAACGAAAATACAATTGAGATTAAAAATAAATTTTGTATTGAAAATGCACACTCGGCACAGGTAACTGCGGTACAGTTAACTTTTGATGACGAGAGTCTTTGCGCATATACTTCTGGCTTAGACCAGGTTGTAAACAAGATCCATTTGCGAATTCCTGTGGCAGAATTGGTTTGTTATACATCTATATCAGACATCAAAGGTTTACGAATAGACAATTCCAAACGATGTTTCATTTATGGTTGTGGAATTCAAATATTCAAATTGAAATAATAAAACATTTGCTCTGAGACTTTAAAGATTTTTATAAATACACACATAATTTTATTTATTAATGCTAAGTCGAATTCTGAAAATAAATGTATATATTATAGTAGACTGCTCAGTATTAATACGAATTAATTTATATATCACATTCATCTTCGGTTTTAATAGTGGGTATCGTTGGGTTTGTCGTCGAATACGAAGTGGTGATGAGGATATTTGAATCTAGATGCTCCATATGACCTTCTTTTGCGCTGCGGTAATCTAGCATAAGTTCCTTAAAAGTCTCAAAGCTGTTGAATGAATGTAAAAGCTCAATGATTTCTCCGCTACTTAAAACGTCATCGAACGCCTCATTTTTCCTACATGAAATACGAATAAATTAGTTGTTCTTCTGATATTCCATATGAATTACTCTAGCTCCTCCGCAAATTGGCTCATATTAAAATCAGGCATACGAACACATAGTTCTTTAATTAGGAAGGTCTCAAAAGTATTAGTATACTCATGAAATATATCCATATATACTAGTTTGTTTTCCTCAGTATTTTCAATGCAATGCCAATATTTCTCCAGAAAATTATTATGTAGCGCCTATTGAAATGAGATAATTTGACTTACATATGTATTTGCCATATATGTGTGTATGGTCATAATGAAGGTATAGATTTGAATTATGGAGTCAGTAGTTCGATTTTATAATTCCTATTTAATATATTTATAACCTGGAATTCTTCTCCAAGTACAATGTCTTCTATGTGACCAATAACATCGTCGAAAAATTGGCTACCCTTCGATTTACCGATAACATTCAAGAATTCATCCGATAAAGTTGTTTCCATTGCAATAAAAGAGATATTTTAATTTAACAAAATATATTTTCGCTTTTTTATGTATTATTTTTCACAAAAGATGTATTTTTTACATTATTTTCGGTTTGTTGACATTAAATGCCCTATTTGTTGTTTTATTTGTCGTTGCTATAGAGCTTGAGGTTACTATTTAATAGAAGTAGGCATTTTACACCCTCTTTTTAAATATTATTTACATAAAATCCTACCAAATTGTTTGTTTTTATCAATTTATACCGTACTTAGAATCTTAGTCCTGTATTAATGAAACAAGTAAAATAATTAAAAAGTACTTTTCACAATAAAAAATAACTTAGTACATGGATGAATACATTTCTTTAAAATAAGAAAAAGTAATAAAATGTTCATTCCGCACCATCCTTTACTGTTTTCATTGTCAAAACAGGACTTAAGAACTGGGAAATTTTAATTACAAATCGGTAATAATTTGTTACTTAAGGTATTTTAGAATTCCTCATTGGTTGCCCTTGGTCTTTTGCTTTTCTTCAGTCTCGTCTAGTTTCGCAGCAGCTCGATCCGCTTTATTTTTTTCATACATCTGCATTAATTCTCGTTTACTAGGAATTGGTTTAATATGTCCGGCTTGAACAAGATATTTTATGGACACGGTTGTACCACCTGCAATTATAAAATGTACCTTAATTACACTGAATATATTATATGGGATGCATGGAACAAAACAAACGAAAACTTCAAGGAAAAATTAATAACATTAATACACATATACAGTTAAACATACTGTGCTTTACCATGGTTTGCATTTTAAACTTGGTTTGCTTCGTGAGTGACCAAACTTATACTATTTGGTGTTTATGAAGCTCTAAATTTTGTTACTTTACCCACCTAAAGTGACCGCATAACGTAGGGGTGTCGCCACTTTGTAGCAAAGATAGGCTATCGCGTAGTGACCCATACTAGAGTTTTGAAAACGTTCCACTATACTTTCACTAAGATGCATGTGTTGTAGGACTAATGGAATATCTACACCACTAAAATAATAGATGTTAATGAATATACTTAATTATCTTGCTATATATACCCATTAATGTCCAATCTCACCTTTTTGACAAATAATAAAAACCTCCAAACCAACCAACCGAAGTAACAACATGAACAGGTAAAAGCACATACCAATATTTTTTGTACATCAATTTAAATTTCGCAAATAGTCCCAATTTAGATGCCTCACCAAAAATATCCTCATCAGCTAAAACCGGAGATGATTTGGTATCGGTTTTACCAGCTAAGTCCGCAGTTTTCTTTGTGCTAAATGTATGGCGACTACTTACGAAGGGTGCAAGTGATATACATTGTGTTGTGCTGTGAGAGTTTAGCAGGGACCACGATCTGTATTTAATGTTACCCAAAACTGTCAGTTGAATTCCTTGACGCTGTTGCCAAACAGATTGCCCAATGCGTGTCATCAACCTCAATGTGGTCATTTTGTCAATTAGTTTTTCTTTGAAGGTGGAAAAGTCGTTTTACATTTACTTAAAAGACATTATGTATTTCAAATTCTCTTACATTTTCCAAAAAAAATTAACTCTCAAACCGGTGAACGTTGTGCAATCAGCTGTTTATTTGAATAAACAATGTTGAAATTTTTCACATTTTACCCTGTAATTAACAAAGATTTATGTTTGTTTAATACATCAAATAAATTCAATGTAAAATAATAAATGTTTTTAAAGCAAATGTGTTCGGCAGAAATTTTATGATATTTGACTCCAATATCTTTTATTTTAATTTCCAAATTTGGTTCTTAAAATAATATCACGGCCTAATATTCTAAGCTCTTTCAATTTGGTTCAACAGGTCACACTGGTTTTCAATTAGCACGTTGTTAGCTAAATACCTATGCATTGTATAAATCTACAAGTAGCCAATCCTAAGATTTTGACTAAACACACGCAAAAATATCCCACTTGGTACGGGTTGCTTCGAAAATTCTACTACTAAAATCACACTTGGTACGGGTTGCCAACCAATATTCTGCTACTAAAATCCCACTTTGTACGGGTTGCCAACCAATATTATACTACTAAAACGTTCAAATGACAGAAATCTGCTATAGTGCGGTGCCGTATTATGTTTTAAAATTAATTACTTTAAGAATATTTTTATTCCATATTCAAATATTTTTCGGTTGTGTTAATTCCTAAGAATTAAATTTACATAGTATTATTTAAACTTTTATTTATTGTTTTGAAATATTATTAAATGCTTCCAATTTTATCTTTTTTAACTTACATGTTTATGTTTTTGTGAGTGAAAATTATTTGTCTGTTGAATATTTAATTTCTTAGTTTACCGGTTTAGTCCTGGGGAAACAAACACCCAAAAAAGATCTGTAACGCGCATATATTGCAACCTCAGAGGTGGTGAGGAAAAGCAATGGGAAAACTTTAATTTAGCATCCCACGAGTTCAGGGTTAAGAGGGGTATGGTTCGATCGAGGAGATTCTCCAGATCACGATTGTTGCCGCCGGAAACTTATAGTTTTCGAGATATTTCTATTTTAAGTGCAAATTGTTAAAGTACAACCTTTTATTTAAAACTCTGTGTCAAAAAAGGCATATTCGATCAGGTGATCACGGCTGTTTCACACACATAGAAAAACAGCTGATTCTTTGGCTACTTGTAGGCTTATACAAAATACCTATGTATATGGAAGAAAGTGTAATTCATTGTTTATTCCAATAGTCAAACTTAATTTTACATTAAAAAAATACATATTCTGAAAAAAAGATGGCAGAAGATAAGAAGCCCTTATTCAGAAATATTGACGGGGATGATACAGATCTGGAAGCAACGGATATTGAATCCGCATGTATGAATTGCTTTCGCTCAGGCAGAACTCGTCTACTTCTTACCAAAATACCTTTCTTTAAAGAGATTGTACTCATGTCTTTTAAATGTGAACATTGCGGTTATGAAAACAGTGAAATTCAGTCAGCATCAGAAATACAGAAAAAGGGTGTACGCATAGAACTTAATGTTAAAAACGCTGAAGACCTAAACCGACGAGTGGTACGCTCGGATTACACATATGTAAGCATTCCTGAAGTAGAACTAGAAATACCTTCTCAAAGTCAAAAGGGCGATATAACTACCGTTGAGGGCATACTCGACAGGACGATAAGAGGTTTGACGCAAGATCAAGAAAATAGAAAACAAAGCCATCCAGAAGCGGCAGCTGAAATTGATGCTTATGTCGAAAAGTTAACCTATTTAAAAGAGAAGCAAATTAACTTTACTGTTGTCTTGGAAGACATCAGTGGAAATAGTTTTGTTGAGAATCCTTTTGCGCCATCCGCGGATCCGAGTTGTAAGATTATTCACTTCGAAAGACAAAAAGAGCAAGATCAAATTCTTGGTAAGTGTCGTTTCATAAGTTGATGTACATAAATATTTATTTTTATTCAATTTTAATTTAGTTAGATTGTTGTTGTTGTTGTTGTTGTTGTAACGGTTACCTAGTCCCCGTTTGGGTGATAAATTCCAGATTGGTTGTCGTCGAGGTTATCTAAGGGCCTCCCCTCCCCAGGAAAGGAGCTGTTTCGACAGGGTCGGACCATAGGGAAAAGGGTGTTAGATGAGTGGGGTTTGTTGGGCATGCAAAGAGGTGGTTAGTGTCATGCGGAGACTTATTGCACGCAGGACACGTGTTTGGTATGTCGGGGTAATAGACCCCGATGGATAAGTAGGAGTTGAACCTGCTACAATATCCAGAACGAAGTTGCGCGAGGGTCACTCTGGTTTCGCGAGGCAACTCGAGCTCTATGTCTGCTATGGGTGGTGGTTTAACTCGTAGTACGCCATTAACTGAGAGGGAGTCGGTGAAGGTGTTGATGGCTCCACTGTGAATGGCGGTCAGTGCCTGTCTGAAGTTCGTTACGTCCGAAGTCTGGTCGGCGTACTGTCTAATGTCGTCGACGTAATCAAGGAAAGACCTCTTGATGTTCCTAGGGGGCGGCTCCTCTCCAAGCCGTTTCTGCTGGGATGTTCTCGTAGAAACCACCCCTGCAGTTGTCTCAGCTCAGATGGGATAGTATATTTTTAACACAACCATAATCTCAGTGATAAAAAAAATCCTATTTTTAAGTTTGTCTGTTTATTTCTAGGTATTTACTATCCAGCAGATGTATCTATTGCACAGGAAAACAATGATAATGCGGAAAATTCGAAAACTCAAAAGAAACATCTCCTGAAACCCATTGCGGAAGACGCTTGGGGCATTGATGATCTGCATGGCGAAGTTTTGCAGTTTCAAACATTATGTTCACAGTGTGGTTCGCCTTGTGAGACGAATATGAAACTAACAAAAATTCCACATTTTAAAGAAGTTGTTATAATGGCAACGGTATGCGAAGTTTGTGGGTGTAAAACAAATGAGGTAAAATCTGGAAGTGGGATTGAGGAAACAGGTATTCGTTTTGAAGTCAAAGTTGAAAGCAAAGAAGATCTTACTCGAGATGTGCTAAAATCTGAAACATGCAGCCTTAGAATTCCAGAATTAGATTGTGAAGTTGGTCCATCGGCTCTTGGCGGTCGTTTCACCACTATAGAAGGTATTGTAGTAGCTATGAGGGACCAACTTCAAGATGAAAGTTTCTTTTTTCGTGATTCTGCTGACGACGAGAGTAAAAAACGAATGGAAGCCGTTATAAATAAATTCGACAAAATTTTGGCTTTAGAATTGAAAGCAACTTTGGTTTTGGATGATCCCGCTGGAAATAGTTATGTACAATCTTTGGCAGAAGGCGATGAGCTAGATGAAAAATTAATCATTGAAAAATACGAACGCACATTCGATCAAAACGAAGAACTTGGTCTCAACGATATAAAAACCGAAAACTATCAGGAATAAAACGGAACGAAACTATTTACTTCTACTTTTCAAACATTAAAGCGTATGTGTTTAAAAAATAAAATATTGGTATATGGAAATATGTACTATGATACATAAAATATGTTGATATATATATTATATTTATATTCCGCAAATATCTTTTTTAATAAATTATATATTTATATATTATATTATCGAATCTTACATTAAATTATGGTATTCCTGTTTCCGATATACGGTTTTTCGAAATCTATGAGAGAAATGTTTCGGATGTCACAAATTTGATTTGAATTGGATTAAATACTGTTTTTATTACCGAAAAACTTCTGAAATATGGCAACTATATATTTTTTCACTGGCAGCTGTTCAGTGACAGTTCTACTACTTGTGTTGTGTAACGTTGGTGATTCTCATCAATATTGTGGGTTTTATTAATTATATTTTTGAATTAAAAGCATTAACTCAATATTATCTTCTACAGTTTTGAAATGTCTGCTTCAACTGCGCGGAATGCCCATGGTCTCCTGAAGCGTGCTTGGAACGAGATTCCTGACATTGTTGGCGGGACAGTGTTAGCAATTATAGGATTAGGAATGGCAGCGGTTGGCGTTGGTGGATATTATGCCAGAGACGGTGATAACCGACGATATAAGATGGGATATGTTGTAATGCGTCCCGATGATCCACGTGCAGAAAAAGTTCGAAAAGATTAAATATTTAGGTTTCCTACTTCGAAATGAACCATTAAGTTAATAAAAATTTTGAAGCCAGATTTGTAAGAAATCAAACAAATAAATGTACGTCGCGTTTCAAGTCGGCATATAACTGTTTGTGTACACTTGTTGGTGCTAACATATTGCTTTAAAAGAAAGCCTGGGAAGCCCACATCTATCATTAATATTATGTCTCTTTTCACTATGTAGCCCAAAATTCATCTATCACCAGATTAAAGTTATATACACTTCTTAGCCTTATAGAGACGTTCTGTGCGTATTAGATGAGAACATTTATAAACCAATAAGGAACTTGGTGAGTTTTCAGTTGGGTTTTTGTAAAGCTGAAATTGGAATCATAAAGTAAGATAAAGTTTTGCAGAACAATAACTGGCTAGTTTTGAAGATAGAAATATGAAGAGGATCCGGAAATACTTCCCTTCCACATTGAAAACAGAATTTTTGACACTTTTCTCTTCTATTGCGGTCAAGAAGATGTGGGATTTTTTTTTAATTTCAAAAATAAATAAAACGATAAAGTTGAAATATTCATCATATATGCAAAACAAAATAATTCCCACACAAACCTAACGCCATAACTTTTCATGCATGGTGGGAATTCAAAAGATTGTTCAATGGATATTGGTCAACTAGTTCAACTTATTGCTTGTTTTTTCCCTTCAATATTTTAAGTCTAACGTGTTGAGAATGAGCAATTTTTTTCTTTACACTAAGAAATTTATTTAATTTTAATTAAATAATTTTTCCTATCTGTCAATTACTACAACCCTGTATGGCTACCGCCATTTATTTTCGTTAAATAACTTGCCGATTCGTTTTATTTGAACGACTTGATCTTTGACTCGTTGCTTGTTCGTTTATTCTTGTTCGTACTCACGCGTTTCTAAACGTCGTTGTTCGTTGTTTCTTTCATCGTGGTTCCGCGAAAAGTCTAATAAACCATTTTTTTTTACTCTTCTGGGTTTAAAATTGTTGGTAAATCTTGCGAGCAGAACTACGGATTCAACGTAGTTAAAGTAAATTTATTTTTGAAGTGAATACGGTATAAATCTATAATTGAAAATTCGATTGTCTGGCTGATAAATGTGCAAAAGTGGTAAAAATTGGTGGGGACGGTAACAGCGAAAACATCGAATCAAAAACGGCAGAAGGAAGTTTCAATTGGAATGTGCTTGAGAAAAAGAGTGCAATAGATGTAAGCATACATATTGCATTAATGAGCAAGTGGGAAAACAGTTTACTGCTTGTTGAAGGGAAATCTAAAGTAACGTGCCGCAAGAGCAGCGCTGCGCTCGGTAGTGACAGAGGCCTTACTTATTTTAAGTTACTACTATGAAGAACTCTAATAAGGAAAATTTTATTCGAGAATCACAAAGTGTAGTTTGTTTCAAAAGTACATAAAAAGTGAAGGGTATAGTTGAAAGATTTAGGTTTGATAAAATCTGTTATAAAACATAAAAATTGTCGTCACTGAGACGTATGTGTGATTATATGAAACAAATAGAGTGAATGCATAAATTAATGTATTGGAATTGCGGCTTCTGTGAGCATATTTTTTAATAAAAAATAGAGGTCCCCTGCTGTCGAGATTGTCCTAGCTATGTCAGCAGAGTACGAAGGCAGTCGAAGCGCGACGCAAAGGAAAGGTATAATGCAGAAAGCAAAGAAAAATGACAGCAGCAATAATGACGATGACACCTTAGAGGATCTGGCGGGCTCAGCTAACAACGTGAGTACAGTGCTTATAAACTATTAACTAAATGTATTTGACATAGTAATTAATAAATATTTAATAGTTTATGTAAGTTTCATATTTTTTACGAATACAAGCAGTCAGGGTCTTTGACCTCTAAATAATATTAATGCATTTTGTATTTGCAGCTAACTGAATACTTAGAAATTTCTTTCAGATATAAAATTCAGACATTTCTACATTCATTCAAAACTGATATTATTAAATGTTTGTATTGCCTTTTCAGTCGATCATTGGAAAAGTAAAATCGCGAGTATCTAGCATAATCCCTAGCAGTTTTTCAAAATGGTTTTCACCATCATCACGAAATAATGATTCATTAAATGGAAGCATCAATATAGGCACGGCCCGGCGTCGTCGGCGTTTAGAAATTGAGGACGATGAGGAATATGATGATGATGACGACAGAGACACAAATGAAAATGATAGTCTTTCACGTAGAGATTATAAAGAAAACCTAGGCCACACCGATAAAGTCAATAAAGACTCAGATGAAGATGATACTGACAACAATAGCGAAGAAGATTTTCCAAAGGCAAGAACTCTTCGGTCTGCGAAATCAGAATTTGTTAACGAACCACCTAGTAAACGATCCCGGATTAGTTTTGATGTAAGGCAATATATTTTATTGCACCTATAAAAAATTTATTTATTTTTATCATATATTAAATATTCTGTGTGTCAATGTAGGTTTCAAGTGTTCATCATCAGCCTTTAATCGCATCTACTCCTGCGGTCGGCAATAATTATAGAACTATCATCAGTCATTCTATAGATAATGTATTGTCCAAACCGACACCGTCATACGTTACAAGTAATTTCATCGAGGCAAATGTAAACAGCAACGTAAACACACAACAAACGGCATCGTCCTCATTTAGTACAACATATATACCCGAAGTTAAACCGCAAGATGCACTTACAAATAGAATGAATATTAATGAAAAACAATTGGATAACGTAACTGGAATTAGGTAAGGATTCGAGAGATAATATAAGAAATTTTAAATATTAACTAATTTTCATAGGAAGAAATGAGTTTTTTAATATCGTACACATAATCAGAAATATTTTGCAATTAAATTTCATATCGTTAGAAAAACATATTTATTTCCAAATTGAAGAAAATATATATGTATAACTATAATTTTTCAAGTGCAATCCATTTCCATATAACATCTGTATTAATAATATCCTTTGTATAAGAACATAGAGTAAATAGAGCATAATATAAGAATGTTGATAAATATGAGATATATTTTTACAGCTCAAGAAGAACGTTGCATCTGCCCTCAACTTCTCTGGCAGCTAAAGAACGTGATATGTCAATGGAGTTTTCAAATTTTAAACGCCAATCCCTTTGTGGTACTTTGGATTCTAAGAAACTGGGATCAGACATTCCGTCAGCGAACACTTCAACAACTATAACTGAAATAGAAACATTCAATCGAGACAAGCAACCATTAACATATTCGGATAGGAAAGAGCGCCGTAATTTAAATGGGAATACATCGACAGTGGTAAGCAGTAAGAAGCAAAAGTTGAATGGCTTAGAAATACCTGAGGAGAGCAATGTTGATGCCGAATCATCTTCCGAAAGTGGTGAAGACTGCATTGGCAATAATTCTGAGTTGCCTAATATCACAAATTTAGGGCAACGTAAAACTGGTTTATTTAATATGTCCAATATAAATAGTCAAAACGGAACTAAGAGTCGAACTTCTTCGTTTGGAAATGGCATAAATTTTTATTCTCATTTAGAAGGCCGCAAATCGCTTTTTTCTGGCGGAATAAACACTGCCGAATCGGCTAATGTTATAAACAATTCTACTTTATCTTTGACTTCTCTAAATAGACGCCAATTCAATGCTTCTATATATGGCAGTACGTCGGCTTTAAGCGATAGTAGATTGCTAAATACATTCTCACCTTTCTACAAGGGAAAAACTACATATGGAGGCGCAGCAGCCTACAAGAAATATAATTCTGGTGCAGGGTCGAACAGAATTTGTAATATTATACCAACTGTAATACGCCCCACTTCGAGTTTATCGACACTATCCTCTTCGAATAATTCGCTTATTGCAAATACTGGCGGGTCTAATGCATTAAGCGGTCTGAACAGTAATGGTCTAGAAAACCCTTCGGCAATTTCCAGTACAGCTAAACGAATATTAGACTTGATAAATGACTTTGCCACACCCTTAAGTGAAGCTAAGAAGATGGTCAATACGAGCGTCAAGGCGAATTTACAAATTCTTCCACAAGCTAAAACGCGTTTAAATGAAACTGATCTACAAGCGTCACGGGCAATGCGTCTTTCTCAAGTTCGCACACCTTACTCGCGACCGGCTGTCACTTTGCAGCCAACAATCAAGAACACAACTATACCCCCACCTGTAAAGGAATTGCAAGTACCGTCGATGTCACAGTTATTGCAAATGAAAAAGATGCAAAGCACCACCGAACGTTCACGACAAATAACAATGCAAAGCAATGATAGTGCCTCACGCGCAATTGTCAGGAGCGGTGAATATAAGCTACCCATAGCAAACAAGAACAACTCTATCGATAAGGAGACGTCACAAGTTCTACAGCAACAGCAGCAACACACAAATAAAATAAAAAGCAAAGTTCGGGCATCCGGTCGTGTTACTGCCTCGAAGAACGCTGCAAATTTTGAAGCAGACGAAACTCCACCTGCAGTCAATTTGCCCAATATAGCGTTTCCGCTTATGCAATCGGTGCCAAAGTTTGACATAGCTCTACCAAAGGCTCAAACAGCTATGCCTCTCGATAGCACTAAGTCCGACTTAAAAAATCCCAATACCTTGCCCAAATCGCAAATGGCAATCGAAAGTAGTCCAGCCGAAGCCAGCAGAAACATTAATACAGCTCCATTCAAATTTAGTGCAGCTAGTGACAAAATTGACCCTGCAAAACGTACCAATCACATAACGGAGTCCAAATCATTTATAAAGGATGGCAATTCGTACACTACAGGAATTAAAATGAATTTCAAATTTTCAGCACCACTATCTTTCGAATGTTTTGATTCGCAAGTTTCGTCAAAACAAAACTTGAATACAGTTATTAAAAAATACACATTTAGTCCGCCAAGTGCTGTAAACTTTGAAAACAATGAACAAGGGAAACTACAAAGTGAAGTGCAAAGTGGTGAAACTGTAGTATCACAACTGAAAAGCGGTAGTGTGCTTGATGCCCTGAAAAAACCTTTCGTTTTGCCATCAACTACAAAAGAAATTATATCAAGTTCAAGCTCTGATGGCAATGAAACCACAAGTGGTTTTGGCGATCAGTTCAAAAAAGCTTCAAACAATAAGTGGGAATGCAACACGTGTTTGATTCGGAATGAGAGTGATATAGATAAATGTGTAGCTTGTGAAACTTTTCGCACAAAAGGAACAATGTTTACACCAACGCTCACAGCTGTTTCTAAAGCACCTCTAACTGATAGCTCTTTAACCTTGAGCGCTCAATTCAAAAAACCTTTGGATGAGTGGGAGTGCGACGTTTATATGATACGGAATAAAAAGCAATCCGATAAATGTGTCGCATGTGAGACTGTGCGTAAAGGAGTGGCAGAGTCCACCAACTTAAACTCAAGTAAGTGGCAGTCTAATTCATTTGGTGAAGCATTTAAACCGAAAGCCAACTCATGGGAATGCCCAACTTGCCTTATAAACAACAAATCTGATTGCAGTGAATGTATTGCTTGTCAAACAAAGAAACCAGGCAGCGGAAGCGAGGATAACAGTAAAACTTGCTCTACAACAAACACTATAAACACAACATATAAATTTGGTTTCAGTAATGTTGACAGCAAGTCTCCCGGTCAATCAACTGGTCAACCGGATTCTGGTTTCAAATCACTTGCGGTATCTCAAATGTCAGCTAAGTGGGAATGTGATGCTTGCATGACGCGAAATGATGCCGCTCGCAATAAATGCGTTTGTTGTGAACAAGCAAAACCAGGTACAACAACGTCAGACTTTCCTGACAATGGTCCTAAGTTTACATTCGGCTCAGCCGCATCATCAAAATTCACCTTTGGCTTTGGGGCCAGTGTAAATGGAACAACTTCAGATTCCGGTGCAGTATTAACATCCGTAGCCGGATCAAATCAAAAGACTGAAGAAGGCAATATAAAAAGTTCAGCGTTGGGAAACACACAGGCTACAAGCCAGGCATCATCTTTAGGCAGTGACTTCATATTTGGCATAAAACCTACTCCTGTCACAAGTGAAAAAGATGTTTCTAGCAAAAACACCGAAAACAAGGATGTCGCAGATAACGGAAATAATTCTAAAAAGCCAATAACTGAATCAAACATAAACGATTTTAAGTTTGGCGGAAGTACCGCTACAGAAAACAATGATATTAATACCAAACCGAACTTCCAATTTGGCGTGCCCGCAACCACTGCTACATCTACGGTGACATCATCACCAGCTGTCAAATTCAGCTTTGCCGCACCAGTAACTACTTCTGTCAGTGCTATTGGAGGTGAATCTGAAAAACAATCCAACTCTAATGCGTCATTGAGTGGTAAACCTGCGACTGGAGGCTTTTCTTTCGGTAATAGCATAACACCAGCAACGTCTCAATCAATTAGTGGATTTTCATTTGGCACAGGTTCAACAACAACAACAATAACAAAATGTAATACAACAACCACAACAACATTTACTTTCGGCGCCTCTACATCCACGACTCAAACCGGTCAATCATCAGCGACAACAACTACATCAATGTCGACTGCCACCGTTAAACCAATGTTTAGTTTTGGCAGCAATACTACCTCAACAACACCAGCAACAAAGTCACCAGCGCCATCTTCAATTACATCAACATCTACAACAACTACAACTCTTTCGGCCTTTTCAAAGCCTACAGTAGGCTTTAGTTTCGGCAGCGGTGCTTCAGGGTCTGCCACAGTCTCTACAGCTGCCAAGGCTATTTTTGGTAACTTTAGCTCTCCTACTACCGTTTCTGGGGCTTCAGTTGCTATCACATCGGCGCCCAGCACAGCGCACTCTACATTGTCCAATGTGTCCAAAAATGTTTTTGGTACATTCGGTGAAAGCAGCTTATCGGCCAAGACAACTACTACCTCAGCTACACCGACTCCATCATCCACTGCTGCCTCTTCAGCAAATCCTTTCGGATCGATAAGCCAAAACGTTGCGTCAACTATCAGTAGCGAGTCCAAGCCCATTGCTTCAGCGACAATGATTTTCGGAAGTGCTGGGAGTGGCAATTCGAATAATAAACCCACTGCCGGTGCGATTCAGGCCCCGATTGCGCCTTTTGTTTTTGGCTCATCGACATCAAATGCCATTACACAAGGTACATCGAGCAATACAACGACAAGTGGCAACATAGTTGCACCTGCTACCGGTTGGCCGAAAAGTGGATTCGCTTTCGGAGCATCCTCTATCAATTCCGGTTCACAGAATGCAAATGAGACTTCTAAACCTGTATTTGGGAGTTTCGCCCCCGCTGCAGCTTCATCAACGACAGGGACTAGTGGTTCAATGTTTGGAAATTTAGCTAGCAGCGGCACAGCTGCGGGTGCAAACCCTACTTTTGGCAGTGCGGCAGCCAATGGTTCTACAGTGAGTCCAAGCATAATGTTCGGAGCTAACAGTTCCAACCCCACATCGACCACACATACAACGCAAAATCTTTTTGGCAACGTGTCTGCTGCGCCGCCATCTGCATTCGGCGCACCTCCAACCTTTGGTAATACTGGTAACAACACCTCCAACAGTACTCCGACCTTTGGCACCGCCAGTTCGGCAACGTTCGGAAGCTTCGGCTCTACGGCATCGAATGCTAGTGGTGATGGTGCATCTGCAGCTAAGAAATCCGAGCCGGCATTCAATTTCGTCGGAAACAGCTCTCAAATCGTGTCAAGTGTAGGTTAATTTTTTTTTTAATTATGTAATTCATTGTAAACAGACATTCGTTTGTTAATCTTTTATAGAGTGGCTTTAGTTTTGGAATGCAAAATGCAGCAAGTGCGCCGGTTAAACCAGCATTCAATTTTACTGCTTCAAGTACGCCCGCTTTTAACTTCACCGGTTCCTCCAGTGATGTAAGTCTAATATCTTCATAATTGCTCTAATATTTTTACCCACGATATGTTTTGTAGTTTAATTAATTTTCTCTAGTAGATGTAGCTGTAATATGTACTCGTATATATAGTAGTATTTCTGTTTACTTATAGAAAATTTCGTACCTTTTTTATTATTACGACTAATTTAACTACTGTATGTAGATAAACTTTAATTATTCTTTATTCTTGTTTTTTCCAATTTTCAATGTATTTTAAATTCTGGTATTGAACTGTGATTTGTGAATTCATAATCGCATCTACGTATGACACTGGTGTTGCATTTCTATTAATCAAATCTCGTCTGCTATAACGGATATCTTCAAATTAAACTATGATATGAATGATTGTTGTGTACATTGTTGATATTGACTTGATAAAACTATGACATGAATAAAAGGCGGCTAAACCTTTTCAATTCGGAGCTACACCACCAGCGCCGGTTTTCAATTTTAATAGTGGGTCTGTGGAGGTAAAGTTAAATTTGAGGCTTGTTATATTCTAACGAAGATCTTCTTACATATTACACCATCTATTTCACCCATACATCATGAGGGCTTCTTTTATACATTCTGTAACATTAGAATTTGTTTTTTAAAGGCCGCATGTTTCTATAATTATTGATTTTCATTCGAATAGTCATGAAAAATCTAAACACAATATTAATCAACAACTAAGTTCATAGAGAATAATTGGTTTCTAAGAGAGTGATTAAACTATTTTTTTTAACACATCCTGTTGTTAATCGCCTATCGTCATTTGCAAAAAATTCAAATAAAAAGTCTCTGGATGTATGTAAATAATGCATATATATAATAACCAACAAATGAACGTTGAGGACCTAAACTCTCAATAATTCAAGTTAAGTGTCAATTTCTGAGTGTACATATCAATTAAATCCAATTAGAAAGAAAAAGCATCTCAAAGAAAACTTGCGCTTAATACCATATATTGTATAAAATCTTTAATGATGTGTTGCATGATAAACACTTGCATATGTAATTTTTATGAAATTTAAAAGTAATTGCTTTGCTTTTGCAAATTGTCACTGAGAGAGTCATTATCTTGTTCTTAAAAATTTTTGGTGCATGCAATTTAAAAAAAAATCTTTTTACACCTCTTTTCTGATAGCACTTTACAATAAATTTATTAACACTGTTATTCTATCTAACTCTTACTACCCACAATCCCCTTCAATTGTTAAAAGTAACACCGGATTTGTCCGACAATTGTTTGACTTAAACTTCCGCTATGTCGATTTGACGGATATTAGGTTACTAAAAGTTTTAGGACATTCATTAATACATCTATCTTTAGTTTTGTAACTAATAAATCATTCATTCAAATTTTTTTAAATAGAAAATTAAATATCCTATCATATTCCTTAAAATACTTGTAGTATTTTTTAGTATTCTTCAAAATTTTATTTGTTTGGAAATGTATAAAATTTAAATTGAGAAAAGACAGTAAACATTGATTCAACTTCTTTTACAGGCCACACCGAATGCACCTTTCCAATTTAATGCAGGCACTGCGCCTGCTTCAAGCAATATTTTTGCGTAAGTATAGCAGCTATAAATCATTCAAAAACAAAAAACAAAAAACACAGAATTCGAAAAAATAGAAAAATTTATAATATTGCTACAGGAAAGGACATTGTAACCAAGCTTAATTATATTCACCCAACTGCATCTACTAACTTTGTACTAATTGTGTTTTGCTTCGTGCATTTGAGTTTGATTGGAAGTCACTAGTGCATCGTTTTGTTTTTGCGTTCATTTGTGTATATTTTGTTCAACTTGGCAGTGTGTAAATAATTTTAGTATTTTGCTTCATTCATTTAATATCAGTCCATTTACCACTTCCTTTAAAAATAAATGTACGAAGTTGGATTTTTAAATAGGGACATAACGATTTCGAAATAAATATTGTTATGAACGACCAGTTATCAAAACTTCTTTCAAAAGTAAATTTTAGTATCTAAGTAATGTATAAAGGAATACCATTTACTTTTAAATTATTGCATACGAGTTAAGCAACGCATCGGCCCAAGTTTTGAGGTCATTTGGTTCGAATTAATAAATACAATGCGAATTTTCTCTATTCTCATTCTAGTAAACTTTTTATCTTTTATCACTTGTTATTTTGTTATATTCCTATTAAAAACCCGAAATTTCCTTGGAAATTATAATAATTTAAATTTATTATAATAGGCAACGAAGTAAATTTCCTTGAGCAGATGTGAAACTTCTTTGTACGATTAAAATAATTAAACAATGTTATAATAATGTAATTTTAATTTTGAAATCTTCAGGCCAGCACCTTCAGCGACAAGCGCCCCGGGTGCTATGCAGGCTCGGCGAAAGATCCGTCAACCGGCAAGACGACTCCCACCACGGTAGAGCAATTTATAAACGCAGACGCCATTAACGGCGTGGACCAACACCAAAACAAACTGACGGGACAAATACAATGGTCGAGACAGAGGAACAGCCAAGACAAAGATAAGAGCAACAATAAAATTCCTGCAATCACGCAGAAAGGCGAGAACAAAGCAACAAAAATTAAATATAATGATTACACTGTTTCGAGCAACTTTATTAACACCAGCAAGTGCAACGACAACAACAAAGTTGAATCAAGTACACCATCATTGGTAACTAATGTAAAAATGGTTGACGGCGTCCGAAGTGATTATGATATTAGCAGAATGAAAGTAAATAAATATAAATATATTCGTAAGATCGACGTCAATGATACACAAAGTTCCTGCAATGTAGCATCAATTACTGGGCAAAATAATGCAATTACAGGGAATCCATTAGAATTGTATAAAGTCGGGCATTTTCATGAAATACCCAGTCATCAGGTCTCTGGGAAGAGGCTGGTAAAGCGTAGTATCCGTATCCAACAGAAATTTAATAGAAACAAACAAGAATACAGCGCACCCAATGAATCATATGTTAAAATAGATTCACATCTCATGCGAAACCAATATCGCAAAGTTAATTTTAAAAGTGTTGGATCGGTAAGAAGATCAATTGTGACAACTTCGCCTGGAATATCAAGTGATAGCTCGTTGCCGTCATCCCCGTCGTCATCGCCAATGCAGCCAGCAGTGTTTAATCAATGTAGTGTGATGCGTTGCTGGCAAGACAACTCAGAACTGAATACGATGCAAAATGAGTTATTAGAATCCTTGCCAGTGGTAAATGAGCGACTGAATACTGGGCGAAAGGCTTGTAACTCATTTATTATCACCAAATCCAATAGAGCCACTGTTGCGACAGATGTTAACGATGAGTGTTAAAGCTCTGCTACGACCACCAGCTGTTATGCAGGAATTTCAATTAGCAAAATGCTGGTAAATGACAATTAGACGTGACAGATTACATTATTATTGATTTCTAAAAGTTACTTTAACCAATTTACTATTTTAAGAGCTCTAATACTGTGTAAACAAAAATTATCAAGCAGAAAACATATTTAAGAGTTAATAATGAGGTTATAATAGGTAAAGGAATAAATTAGAAAATAAAGAACATAACATCAGAACAAAATCTCCAACATGCAGTAATTCAGGAAGTGTAAAAGTAATACATTCATGCATACATCTTAATAAAGAAAACCTATTATACAACCATTAAAACTAGTACGAATAAGAATAGATGTCCAGATGCCACGATGAGTTTTAGGTGAAACAGAAACAGAAACGGGAAGAATTTCGATTTAAACCCACTGGAAGATTATATACATATATTGTTTTGATAATATACTTATCTATGTCACTACCTTGGCGAAGTTAATTGAGGCGATTATATTTAAAAAGAAAATATGTGTTTTTATTCATATTTTATTAGAACTCAACTAGTGTGTGCTGGCATTTCGTCCCCGGAAATTGGCGAATAGAAGGACATGTTCTAGTACATCTACATTAATAACTATAAATATTTCTATTAACGTATACTTGCTTATTATCTATTATATTTTGTTACTTTTGTAAGATACATAAATATTCGTTTCTAATTGAAGAGTGTTAACAAAATTGTAAATCTTAGTCTAATTGAATTATCTGAAATTTGTTTTTGTAACAGTAAAGAAACAAATTTAAATTTACAGAAGACCGTTGAAATTTCACAACTACAATAAAATAATGTACATACATGTAAGTGAATATATGTATCGTCCTTGTTTTTTTTTTTCCTTTTTGGACTTTTCATGTACAAGAAAAAACGTAAAAATTATGACCAAGGTATAAATGGGTATTTAATATAATAATTATCTCCTTGTCTTAAATGTGGCTGTCAAAGGTGGTTCAAAGAAAGTTGTTGCTTTACAAGTATATAGGATTTATTATTCAACATAATTACCATATAATGCGATATATCGTTTATGGCAATACAGTTCGTGAAATGAATAACAATAGTGAATAACAGTTGCAGTGAAAATAATGTAATTAATTATTGTCAGTGTAAATGCGGCATTATTTACTTAAATAACAACAGGGTGATTCATAATACATATTTTATTTTAGTTGAATTCATCACAAAATATCAAACTTTAGAAAAAACGTATATTATTTCAAACTACCATAGTAACAAATCTGATTTCTGCTTAACTAAATACAGTTCTTGGGACATTGCAGTGCATAAAAACCTTTTGCGCTGCATCTTGTGTATGTTGATATCAAATTGATGTTGATATGGTCAAATTGAATTTTTCGCAAGAGATGTACATTAGTCACTTTACTAAAGTATAAAATAAATATGTCATTGATGTTTTTACTGAAATATTTTTGAAATAATTTAGTGGACCAAATAATTATTTATTTTATTACTTCATACAATAAACGCATTTCGCCCAATTAAACCTCAAGTGTGGCATTATTAATTAATGTTTCCCTTTTTATATATAAAAACAGTTTTCCTCTAAATATATCCTAACAGACGCTCCATAGTATAGAGTATTAACACTAAACAACGCGTAATACGATTAAATACAATTTTCAAATAAAAAAATGTAAAAAGAAATTTTATTCTCTACCAGCATTGTGGTATCACAAAACAATAAAAATGGAAATGGGCAAAAACTGCAACACTCTTCCATGGTTGTTTGTGTGTGTCACTTGTGAGGAGCATTGACTCATTCGCCATTTTTATTTTTTTCCATTTGTCTTCTTTGGGTGTTGCTGTAGACAGAAACTTAAAAAATCGTTAAAAATGGTGAGAATATACATAAAAACCATGTAAAATTAAATAAAAACTTATTTTTATCATGTAAAGAGCAAATATGTGTACAATTTATCTGCGTTGTTTTGTTTACTGAATAGTAAAATGTTGTAAATAAAGCCGGGTGTTTCTCAATAAAATAGACGCACTTCCTAAGGCGTTTAGCATGAGGAACCACAGTTGGTCTGGATGCACGTGCACATTTCGGCATCCATATATTGATGTCTAATGATTGCAGTTCTGTAATTTTAATGTAGTTTTATGTTTCAAATTTGTTTTACGTTACCTTAAATGACTAGCTAAATTTAATGTGAAGTTTCTGGAAGTTTGCCTCAGTGTTACGAAAAATATTAGAACTAATCGGTGACTGAAAACTAAAGAAGCGCATGATAATTTGCATACATTTTTTAACCATAACTGCAATTAAATAAAATGACTCTTTTACAAGAGAACATAAATTTAGCACCTTGTGCTCAAAAAGTAGGGTTATATTGTAATGAATGGTATATTGTCTCTTTTACAAATTGTTAAGAATTTTTTTTTAATGTTTATTATTTTATTTTAAGGAAATGTCTTTAAATCCTGTGCGCGTGCTTAAGAGCGAGGCGCAAGAAGAGAAGGCTGAAATGGCTCGCCTATCATCTTTTATAGGAGCTATTGCTATAGGTGATCTTGTAAAAAGCACTTTGGGACCAAAAGGCATGGATAAGATTTTGGTAGCGCATGGACGCAATGCTGGCCAAGTTGAAGTTACAAATGATGGCGCCACGATATTACGCGCTGTTGGAGTAGATAATCCAGCTGCTAAAATATTGGTAGACATGTCGCGTGTACAAGACCAAGAAGTTGGAGATGGTACTACTTCAGTTACCGTACTTGCGGCTGAACTTTTACGGGAAGCCGAAAAATTGGTGGAACAAAAATTGCATCCACAAATTATCATTGCCGGTTGGCGTTTGGCAACCCAGGTGGCACGTGAAGCTCTTACACAAGCTTCACAAGATAATTCAGCCAATGATATAAAGTTTAAAGAAGATCTACTAAATATTGCGCGGACAACATTGTCGTCAAAAATTTTACATCAACATAAAGAGTTTTTTTCAAAACTAGCTGTCGACGCGGTTTTGCGACTTAAAGGCTCTGGAGAATTGCATGCAATTCAAATAATAAAGAAGACCGGTGGCACATTGGATGACTCATTTTTAGATGATGGCTTTCTATTAGACAAAAAACCAGGAGTACATCAACCACAACGAGTAGGCTTTATTTATATTTAAACCTAAATCAATTTTGTTTGTTAAGAAATATGTTCTTCATCGACGCGTCAAAACGGTTGTGAATTATGTTGCAATAGTAAGCCATATCACAGCCATTTTGACGAGTTTGGTGCTGGAGCAATGCCATCGTATTAATATACAACGTAATTTGTTTTTCTCAACATTTAAAGTTCTAGTTAATATATATTTAACAATTCAAACACAAACAGATTGAAAAAGCGAAAATTCTAATTGCGAATACCCCTATGGACACTGACAAGATCAAAGTATTCGGAAGTACTATAAAGGTAGACTCTTTGGCGAAAATTGCCGATTTAGAACTGGCCGAAAAGGAAAAGATGAAGGATAAGGTGCAGAAAATTTTGAACCACAATTGTAACGTTTTCATTAATCGTCAACTAATTTACAATTACCCTGAACAATTGTTTGCGGACGCCGGCGTTATGGCTATTGAGCATGCTGATTTCGATGGAATCGAACGTTTAGCTCTTGTTACAGGTGGTGAAATCGTTTCCACTTTTGATAATCCTTCACTGGTCAAATTAGGTGAATGTGACGTCATCGAACAGGTAATGATTGGTGAGGACACACTTTTGCGTTTTAGCGGAGTGAAATTGGGCGAAGCTTGTACAGTTGTGATACGTGGTGCAACACAACAAATCATCGATGAAGCTGATCGATCCTTGCATGATGCCCTATGTGTTCTAGCTGCTACGGTAAAGGAATCGCGCATTGTTTATGGTGGTGGTTGTTCAGAAGCTTTAATGGCCAATGCCGTTTTCAAAAAGGCTGGAGAAACCCCAGGAAAAGAAGCAATTGCAATGGAAGCATTTGCTAGTAAGTATATTTTTGAATTCTTTCTCTTGTTACATATAATTACTAAAAACGCACCAATTGTAGGAGCTTTACTGGCATTACCAACAGCTATTGCCGACAATGCCGGTTATGATTCAGCACAACTGGTATCAGAATTACGTGCTGCACACGCGCAGGGTAAGTCTGCCATTGGCTTGGATATGGAAAAGGGCAAAGTAGGTGATATGAAAGAACTGGGAATTACGGAGTCTTTCGCTGTTAAACGTCAGGTATTAATGTCCGCATCAGAGGCAGCTGAGATGATATTACGCGTTGACGATATCATAAGATGTGCTCCAAGACGTCGTGTACCTGACCGTGGTTACTGTTAGATTAAGTTTTTTATTATTGTATTAAACTACTTGCTTTAGCAAAGTAAAACTATGTACTCCTTATTTGTTTAAACCACTTCATTCAACAAGCAAAGCGTAAAAAATAATAATATCTGTCCCTAATGATGTCTATTCTAATTCATTCTCCAGAAATTCGAAACACAAAGTAATGGAGTAAGCATAGCTCTTGTTTCCGCACTTGTATCTCACTATATTAAAAATACTGATTTTTAAAATAAATCTGTTAATATTGGAAATTAATAATAAATTTGTTTTAATATTTTTGCAAAAAACTTTATTTCAATAATTCCACTAAAACAAGAAAAATATCAATACAATTATGGTGTCATACGGATGCTCCGCTCCTTTCTGCTAGAAATACGTCGATACAAGTGACTCAATTAAAATTATCTTACGATGGTTCGAGCATTATAAACAAATTTGTTGTCGAATATATATGTATATATATATATATATATTTATATAAATTATAATATATATGTATACATATATATATATATATATATATACACTTATATAATAGGTAGCAGCTAGTTAAAAATAGTTTAAGTGCTGCGGATTAAACCTGACTAATAGATAGCTCCCACAGTTAGAGCAAAGTAGTAGCATACGCCTTTAGTACAACTATTTAGGATATTACACATTCCATTTCCCCATGCTTTGGCACACAGTCCAGAACAAGAGCAACTGCACGAGCCATATATGTCATAGTGCCATAGCTACCACTGGGGGCACTGGGAGCGTGTTATGGCGAAAAATACAATTAATTAGTATTGAAATTTTTCTATTTGTTGTTTTTATAATACAATCTTACCTGTCATATAGGTGTTGGCAGATATAAGCTGCACCGCCACATAAGAGCATACCGGAAGCTGCTTGCTGGTCCTTACCCTCTTTGGATTTGGCACAACATAGCATAGCATCACCTTGCACTTTACGTTGATCTTCTAGAAACAATTGATTGGCTTTGTGCACCAAATGTTCAACGTAGATAATACCGCCCAGTGAGGGTACCATATTATGTTCGGTCATAAGTGTGAGCACCATAAGGGCTTCCACCACCAATTGTCTATATTCTGGTTGTGGAATTTGATTAAGTGCTGTTTCCACTTCTAAAGCAAATTTCAATTCGCCGGTTGTCATTTCTTGGGTCAAACTCTGTGGTAATATGCGTCCTTCGATTGCCAATCCTTGACATTTTTCAAGTACACTCCAGACGCGAGAATAGAAATCACGTGGCACTCGATTCAGTGCGCCATCCAAGCGGCGGCGTCTTAGCCATTGACCTTGACGATCATCGATTGTTGCTATAAGTGCATCATCCCCCTCTTGTTCGCCCAAACCAATTTGACTCTTCTTGCTTACGCGACTTGATTTACAGCTTACGATTGAGAGATTTCCACGTGCAACTGGAGTAATGAAAAAACATCGCTTGTTAATTGAAACGTCAACATTACATATTATTTAGTCATGGAATGACTCACCACTGCTCACAGCAAATTCTTTTCCGCTCAGTATATGATAGAGCAAGTTCTTCATTTCAAATGGCGACAGGTTGAGCAAATGTTCCGAGGCTGCTTCACCGTCACAATTAAGTGTACGTGATAACTCCTTGGCCATGACCTGAATAATGAGACCTACGCGCAGGCGCAACATTTCATGAAATAGTTGGGGTTCGGTGCGTATAAACATAGCTAGATACACCATTAATTCCTGCGTCAACATCGCAGTACTTTCGTCATCCCCATAAGTCTGGACACAATATTGATAAAAAGTTCAAAAATAAAGAAAAACTCTCCATAAATGGTTTGAGGATGTTCAACTTACATCATGGATCAGTTGACGTAACTCAATCTCCGGTAAAGGCGCAGTAATTGTGTACTCATTGTTGGGTGGCATTCCTATAGTCACCTAAATTTTGAATAAAAAATTTCAAAATGTTTCATCCGGTTTCAATAACACTTTAACGAGTACATAAAACATTATATTATATATGTATGTATGAACTTACCTGCTTCTGTCGAACCAGCAGATCGGTGACAGCCTTGGCTAGATCCTCGACACGTTTTCCAAGCATACCGGCTGTGTGACGCACGAGGCCCCAAAGCTTCTGTTGGCAAGCTTTTTCGTATAGGCCTTTAAGAAGATCACGCACCGTAACGACGCGACCGTCCTCCAACATCCCTTCAGTGGGAAGAAGTGTAGAATTAGTAAGAGTAGAGTCAATGATAACCGTGGGTAGGAGTTCTGTATTGTCACATGACTCGCCCTTTAAGACTGAAGCAACAGCAATGGCCTCATCCGCATCATCCTGCTCAACGTCTTTTATAAATAATTACACACGCACATATGTGTAGATGTACGCACATACAAACGTTGATGGACAAACATTAAGCGCATAAAGGCTCGTGAAAATACAGAAACAAAAGGGACGCGGCCATTACAATGCGGGTAGTATAATTATATGTTTTTGGAAATTAATTTGAAGTATACACTCAGAAGTGGAGGATGTGCGTGTACATTTGTAAAAACATATACATACATATTTCAAATTATGTAAAATCCATTAAAGTTGAAAAAATCATTTTTGAAATATCATTGGTAATCAGGGAGTGTTACATACATTGAATAAGCGCACATTTAAAAACACATATACATATATACATATAAACATAGAGAAAAATTAAAACAAAAGAGAAAAATATAAGAAGAAAATTAGATTAGACGAAAGTATAAAGTGAAATTTACAATTCCAGTTCAGGATTTATTATTATTTGTAAACTTTAGATAAATTAATCTAAACAAATTCTTTACTCTTATGGAAGGTTTTAATATTAGTATTGTTTTTTACTTCTGGAATTTTTATTGCCAAGCATACGATAAATAAACAACTGTGATTCAAGAGATTTGCGGATGTAAATGGTAACTATTAACAAAATTTCGAAAAGTTAATAACAAAATAAAAAAAAAAAATTTATGGTATTTTCCGTTACTTCTTTTTAAATTTAAAACGATCATACCTAAGCTAGTTTGGGATACCGAGGTGTACTTTGGAAAAGTTTATTTCGCTTTTGAAATCACTAAATTACCAAAAACTTCCCATTTAGAAGACAAAATCAAGACGAAAACAAAGTCACATATATGAATACATATTTTTAAAGATTTTGATACAATATTATAATTATTGTTCTTCTCGAAAACAAGCCTAGGTTGTCTTTATCAAGCGAATAGAATAACATTTGAATGATCTTTTTTCTGAACGAAAAATTAGAAAACAAATTAAATTAAATTATTTTGGTGATTTGGATAATTATATATGTGTGCATATGTAGGCAAATGCATTTATATAGGTGCCGAAATTAAAAAAATACAACTTACCGGAATCCTTATTCCTCAAACCTAAGCCAGCTAATGAATAAAATTTTCACAAAGAGAGAAATTAAGAAGTTGAAATCAATACACGTTTTCAGAAAAAAAAATACACAAAATCAATTTAAAATAGGCAATAATAATAAATAAAGTTTATTGTAGAGGAAATTGGACCACAAGTTTTTATGAATATGGGATAGGGTGGAATAAGGAGAAATTAAGTTTTCCTCGATGAAGAAGTTTTAATTTATGTGTAAATGTGTACACATCACTTCTATAATAATTCAATTTGAATGTGTGTATGTATAAGATATGTATGTGTGTATGTGCAAGTGAGCCGGAACACTTTTAATCATTTTGCAAACTCATGCAATGCAATTCATATTATGTATATAAGTAAGTATACATGTTATTGCACTTACCAGTATTGAAGTCCAAACCCTGTGTGTCGACCAAATATTGCAAAATATCTCCTTGTTCTTCCAGATTCTCCGTTTCACGCAACATTGCAATTAATTCCTCCACTTCTGTGTCGGCGAAATTGGTATCGGTGCGATGGCGTTGAACAAGAATTTTCGGTATAGCTTGTACTGATGAGCGTACAGGGTTCATATATACAAATTATAAAGTAAAACCAAAATAATGAAATTATAATAAGAAATAAAAATATGACAATCAACAAATGAATTAAAATAAAACAATTATAACATATACTATAAATAAATAATAATATACAATAATAAACGAACTTAAGATGAAACAAGTATTCGGAAACGCAACCACTTTATCAATGTATGTAATTACAAATATTACAATAACTACATTTAATTGATGGACAAATGTATGAATGATCCAACATAATTGGTTGAATATTATACTTAGATTGAGTTATTGCATTCTCGGACACCTTGTACAAATGAAACTAAAAGCACTACTAACTTTCTTGTTGTCTTGTAAACTCACTGCGGCGTTCAATGGCCGAACGACTATGATGTGGATCAATGGGGTAGATGTTTTCACGAATCAATGGGTCCACTGTTATGGTGGGACCTTCTTCTGGTGTTGTTGCAAAAACACTGACATTGTTAGCTTTATTTGGCAGCAACCATGGTGGCGGAATCACCGATGATAAACGTCTTTCCGTTAATGGTGTCGGACCTTCCATACCCAAATTATCAGCTATAAAAACAAGTAATACAGAATAACCGATTCATAATAAGAAAGTTTATTATTGTGTACTTACAATCGACATTGATTGAACGTGTTTTTTTAATGGCACCCTTGCAAGACATACGCCTGCGCAATTGACGTGGCCGCAAATGAGCGCCATGTAGTTTCATCATGCCGCGATGGCTAAATGAGCGTAACAAGTGCTCGTCCAAATATGCCTGTACGTCGGGATTCAAACGATCTGGGTAACCATCTTCTGTGCTACCCAAAAAGCTTAGATCGGTGATGGCCGACGTATTTAAGAAGTCCTTAAGGTTGCCCAACATAACTCGAGTGCCATTAATATATCCAGATTTTAGCTTACGCATTGTTTGGATCATAGCCAGTGGTATTTTATCTTGATCTGTGCGAAATATTACAGTTATTAGTGTATATAGAACTTTGCTTCGGATAACAACAATAAATTTAACAAAAAGTAACTATAAATCCAATTAATATATATTAATCAAGCTTCTACTATTAGTTAATTATTTACAAATGTTCATGAAATTACTGAAACGATTAAAACGCGTACTTTAAATAGGATGAATCAGTTTTTTATGTTGCTTCCAAAAAACATTCAAATAATTTGTATCCCTTTTTCAACTCTGTCTGTTGTCGTGTATAACTGTGTTTTTCAACAATCTTCTTATTATTAGCAAATTGCAAATCTACGAAAGGTAATAAAGGAGGAAGGGCAAAATTTACTGCATTGAGTGTAAAATGCTGTTCACCTATCTACTGAAAAAAGAGAGTTCGTGTTCGTGTAAAACTCTTAATATCATTAAAATTGGAAAATACAAATTAACATTTTTACTTATCCACACAACAGATCTAACATCAATTTTATAAAATGTGTATATATTAAACAAAGAAAATTATTGTGACAAACGATTTAAGTTATATTCAGAAATTTAGCAAAATTTGTAACGATTAGTGAATCGGCCTGAACATCCACCATACCTATTTCAAGTTCGTATTTTTATAAGTTATATACATTTACATAGGTATGTATTAGACCTGTGAATAGAGATACATTATAATATCAATAAATGTGTTATTTAAAGTCAACTTACAATACATTTACAATTAATATTTATCAAATAACAGATTTAGCATCGTTTTACATAACTGTGATATTAGTAATGTGTATATGTACGCACGTGCTTGTGTGTATCTACATGTTCATTATATTATATTTCATAAATACCGAGTTAAATAATTTAGTTAATTACAAGTATGAAAAAGTAAGTAAGATAAGTAAAGAAAAGTCACAGTTTAAACTAGGAAAAATATGACAGATTTTGGAATTTTTTAAATTTAATTTTATTATGCGTTCTTCATATAAAAATTGTTTCTAAATTACAAATCAAAACAACTCTAAATATATTTGTGGCATTAGCCAAAATTTGATGAATAGCTCTATATGTATAAGACTGTGTGTATGTTAACTATGCATGCTAGAGTTTTGTTTATTTCTAAAAGAAGCTTACCTATGACATTCTTACACATATATACAATATTTATATATAAGATATATATGTAAAAGCGGTGAATTTAAGAGAAAACATGCGAACAAAAAATAAAATTAAGAGATAGAAATGTTTTTTTTTTTTATAAATAATGGCATGGGTAAAAAAATAAATAAGAAACGATGGATATTTTGATATGTGCATTTTTATATATATAAAATTATGAACCTTTATTTTATTTAGCAGAAACTAGTTATGCTTAGTTAAGTATTGTATATAATTACGTACAGAAGATAGTATTAAAACGTGTATAATACAAAGCTATAATAAGATGGCTGTCTTTATGTTTGTAAGGAAGATATAATGTAATTACCTAGCATGTAATGCGTGGCCATTAGAGTTATAGTCGGTCTTCCTAACATGTGCCGCCAATTGTTTGTTAGGAAAGCTAAATTTGTTGTGAAATTGCTAGCAAGCAAATCAGGATCACGAGTTGTGTAGTATTCTTCAAAATCGATATTCTGCGACGATGTTTATTGAATTTCATTGCATTAGTAAGTGAAATACGAGCAAATTAATTTGAAAGTATGTGTTAAGTTTTCAAAAAGAATAAATTTTGCTTGTCAGTGAGAAAGGTATATATACTTTTGTTTATGCATGTATCTCTTATATAAGTACATACTTAAATTTAAACTTTGCAAATTTTTCGTTTCTTACAAATTTTCTTAGTTGATGAGATTTGCAAATGCATGTTTCGAGAGTATGTTTTGCCAACATATACAACAAACTACTGCAGTTGAAAAAATTATTTGCCAGGATGTAAACTTTTTCTGGGATAAAATTGCTACCAAACTACAATTTACAAAAAAAAAAAAAAACACTACGTGTAAATGTGTTGGTGAAAATTTAAAACTGTTTAATATGAATGTATGTAAAAGCAAGCGTTAACATTTTGTTAAGAAACAGTTTTTAGGATTATAGTAATATAATAATAGTAATATAAATATAATATTATAATAAAAATGCAAAATGATTTGAGATGTTAAAACCCAATTCCAAAGTCTTGATGTAATTTTCACAATTTATAAGATGTTTCTTGCTTTTACATAAAATTCTACACGAAAGTTTTCTAGATTAAAACTATGTTAATATGTCCCTGTACACAGAGTGGTAATAGAATACATTATAAATACAGATGTATGTATGTTGAGCAAAGTAGAGCATATACAAATATGTAAGTGATACATAAAAGGGCTTTACAACAGCATAAACCAAATTAAAGAGAGCATACAAATATTATTTAACCGACCTAAATGAATTTTTCTCAAAACTAGAGTCACTAACGGACGACCCAGCAGATCCCAAGCGGATTTTAGGAAATTTATCTCTCCTTTCAGGATGTCAATCATTAATTCATTATCAGATGCGATATAAAATCGACTCAAGTCAACAAACTAAATAATAACGCATCAGATTGTTATTAATATGAATAATTTCATGGGAATTATGAATCGTCATTCAATTAAGATGTGATAATGCTTGTGGTACTCGATTTATAAAATTATATTTGATATTGCAGTAGAAATTTAAAAATCTAAGCATGTGCATATATTATTCAAATGACGAATCATAGTTAAAACCCTTTAACAATTATATATATGTATGTACAAACATATTCACTTATAATAAAGCAAAACTTTTAACTTACTTGTGGTGTAAAGGCAAAAATACGATCCTTAAGTGAGTATAATTTGCTGGTGCTCAAAATACCCACATCGCGAGACTTACGCCCTGTTAATCCTAATTTCCGATTACGACCCAAATACGTGTACAAATGACTAAGAACTCGAGCTGGCTGTACTTCAATTGGCGCCACCTCAGCTATTGTTTGTACATGCAAATCATGTTCTGTTAACTTGTCACGTATTTCGTTATCCTCAGCTATGATTACCACTTGCACAACAACGTCAGGTTTCTTTTGGGCACCTAGACGACGATTAAGCGGATCTAGTTCTCCAACTGCCAAGAAGCCCTGGAGAAGGAAAAATTATGGTAATTTCTATAATATGAACATCATTAGAGAATAATTATTTACACAATAATCATAAGTAAGAAAACCGAAATATCCTTAAATAAACGTGAAAAGTAATGAAAAGATTATATTGAAAAAAATATTTGGCTTCAAAAGCCAATGAATTAGGTGTGTAACTATGAATAATAAATTTCAACTTTTAGATCAACGATTTATACTATATCAAAATGTTTGCCAAAGTCTCTATGTGCATCTAACAAAAGATCTTTTATCTCGATTCTTAAAGACTTGAAGAATATTTGGTGCGTACCTCCTGTAATAGTCGACCTAATATGAACAAAGATTGTCCCCAAAGGAATGGACATCTGCCTACTACTTCACGCGGTTGCGAGCCGGGATGTTGGTATTCGTTTGATACCAAATTATGCGGAACTGCATAACTTTCAGGTATAAGTAATGTTCCATCGTCTGCTCGGACCATAATTTTCTAAAAAAAAAAAAATATGTAAAACCAATACGTTTGATTTGTTTTGCAAGTATATTATTTGATTGCCAATCCAATACCTCAAGACGATCTGCATATTCCTTTACCGCTAATTTGTCATTTTGAAAAGCGTGGAAAAGGATGAGGTAACAATAAAACAAAGGCCACTCGCACTCGATGTTTTCAAACATTCTGAGTTCCCAACGTTCGTAGTATAAACGAGATGGATCCTCTTTGGGTGTACGGTAACCATCTCGTAAAAAGCGTTTGCACCCATATTTTCCTTGAAGTCGTGATAAAATGGCATCTTTCGTATTACGTATTAATTGTGGATCATCCGCAGCAAACGCTGGAAATCCAATTACACAAAGCAATCCCGAGTCAAGTTCTTTACTGTTTGATTCACGTGGTAACATAGATTGCAAGACAGCCTGACATTTGTGTGCTTCATCTGCTAAAACATGTATAACACTTGCAGGACCTCCTCGAGCACCAAATAAATCCAATTCGTTCATTGCTTCTAGAGCTGCTTTGGCCATACCAATTGAACTTGCGTTTAGTTCTGGCTCACCTGTTGAAACAAATTCAGTTTATATTATGTTTACTATTATGTACATATGTTAATTTTCACCGTGATTAGTTTTGTCGCCTCGCTCCCATATACCATAATCTGGAATACAATATGCTGATTCTATGTAGAATACCAAATTTTGAATAAATGAAACTTCATCTAAAGAGAATACAATCTGTAATCCAGATGCTGTCATCTGTGCTAAAATCAAAAGGTACAAAGAAACCGCGTCGATTTGTAAATGACCCCATTCCCCATCTCCAACAACTGGCTGTCCATTTTTACTCGAATATTTCGCGTGCAATGAGTCCAATGGGTTTTGTGTCATTTTGAATCGTTCTACTTTATCTTTTTGATTCATCATAGCCATAAGTAAGCCCCTCATTAATTTGACACAACTTTGTTCCAATTCGTAGCATTTAGCTCTATCTTCATCTTGGTCTGCAATTTTCTTATAGGCCATCGAAAGACCCCATACGGCCAATATACAATAAACATTATCACGTATCCAAGCATGTGAATTAATATTGGAGGCAGGGAATAAGCCAGTGACAGGTTCTTGGTGCGACATGATCAGACGGTGCACTATACGCTGGTAATAGTCCAGCCGGACGCCCGAATTGCTGCGCGAGCGCATTTTTTTGCTTTCCAAAGCAACACCTTCTTTGTAAGAGCAAGCGAGATCAAACTATTTTAAGAGCCGTATCTGGGGGCTCTTATGGTTACAGCCCTTACACCCCTTTCTGCAATATCCTTATGTAAGATTTGTTCTTAGCCCCACGAATTTTTCTGTAATTCAATTACAATTATTATTCTACTTATATGCGAACGATTTGATAACCATTTCTTACTAATATGTACAAATTCACTATATTAATGAAAATTAATCTCACAAAATAGTAAAAATATTGCCAGATGATTGCTGCTACGCTATCGCCTTCCAAAAATGTCACGCCAATGTCAAAGTAATCACTGCGAGTATCAGCTGATGAACTAAATTCCTTCACAATGAGATATTTTTGAGTTAACTAGCAACTAAACTTTTTATAGACCATTTAAAAATAAAGTCATATTTGATTAGAAAATGGTACACAAATATTTATATCATATATTTATCGAGGATTTTTGTGTACGACTAACCAAACCTAAGTTTTAAATGTCCTGTTCACAATGAATTATTTACACTCCATAGTGGATCCTAAGCAGTTATTTAAAAAAAAAAAATGCAATTTCCAATTAGTTTTATTTCTCTCTCTCTCTCTTATTTTCCCACTCGCACAAAATTTTAGCGCAAATCTTATTTTTGGTGCATTTTAAAAATTTGCAGTGAAAGACGTCAATAGAAATTTAAATTGGTTTTAATATATTTTAATTCGCCAAACATATTTTCTGGTTCTAAACAAGTTTCCATTTCACGAAAATAGACTAAGAGTAAAGAGTTCCTAGCGATTAGGAAAAGTATTGACAGTTGTTTCGGAGATACAATTGACTACTTCGGGTTATTTACAATCACAATCTGCCTCAAAACACATTTAATTTATATATGTATATCTTGAAGTTTTCTAAATAGTAAATTTCGGTTATAAGTGCATTTTTTATTGTCTATAAAACAAAGAGTAAAAGGCAGGTCTCCAATTTGCGTCTATATATGCAGTAATAATGTCGAGAAATGTGTTGGATAGCGGTGGTTGTGGAGACGGAAGTGAAGGAGTACCCGGAGACTATAAGGACATTTACGAATTATTGGCAGAATTATGCAAAAATTTGGCAGGACCATCTGAAAATCATAGTAAGTCAGCTTTCCAGAATTCAACGATGTAAAAATATTAAATTTCTGCAGTTGCTTGTACAGAAAAACTTTAAATAAAAGAAAAATTAATTTGAATAATGACGTCTAAACAAATTTAATCTTCAATCATAAAACGAAAAGTTAATTTATAAATATATTTAAATTTCTATTAATATTTAATGAATTGTTTCCGTGCGTGCAAATTATTTTTTAAATATAAAACATGCTTTTTTAAACATCTTTCGATTTCCTTTACAGGAGAAATTTTACGTCACGTAACACAGTACATATCCAACTGTCCGACTGCTTTGGGTTCAACATTGCCGTTCGACGAAACCTCAATTCTAACAAAAATCACACATCATCTTGACTCCTCTGCTGGGAAAAGTGTTCCTTCGAATTTATGTCCTGCTGGATCACAATTCGGTGCAACGGGAAGTGATAGTGCAAATTCTGCAGGAGAAACAAGCAGTGTTGTAAACAATAGTGCGTTATTTTTAAAATTTCATGAGCAACTCAAAGCAGCAGTAAGTAAAACTTTTCAGAAAGAGGAGAAAATTGTTTATCTTTTTAAATATTTTATAGCTTCCTGATGATCATCAACGTACCGCATTGCTAACTTTTCTATATTTTATGTCTGACTCCAAACATTCAACTGATAATGGGCACAATATTGGAAATGTTAACAGTCACCGCAGTCATTTAATGGCTTCGACTAATTCCGCGTTCCAATCAATCCGATCACATTTGTTGCACAAAACTTCCAGTCAGCAGCAACCTCAGCATTCCTTACTTACTGTTAACAATAGAGCCAGAAATGTAAGTTATTAAAAATAATCAAAATTGTTAAAAAATTAAAAAGTTGGTTATATCAACATACTTCACAGGAAGAAAGCGTAAAACCAATGGTATCTGGTCGTAGTGCCTTTAGTCGTATGACACCCGAAAATGATCCAACGGGTGGAAATTGTGGTGTTATTCATGGAGTAAACTTTCCATCTTTACGTGTTGATGGTAGTAAATCACTCGTCCTACAAAATAATGTAAACGACGACATAGTACAAAATGTTATATACGTATTTACGGGTATTCAGGGAAAATACCTCAAAAAGGATGTAATATCAGGCCGTTTTAAATTAGATTCCAAGGTGAAATCTTTAAACGTAGTTCAAGCGGGAATGCTTTTGAGGCTTTCTGAATTGGGGTATACTATGACTAATTAAACAAAGCGATATCATATTCCATTACTTAGATTTGTATATATATTTATATTTTGCAGATACTACCATGACTTGGTTCAGTCATATACAGATAGCAAAAGCGGCTTATGCCCTTTGGGTCTTATGGGCCAAGGGTTTGTGTCCGCTTTAAAAAACGAACTTACTAGATATTATGGCATGGTTGCAACACTTCAAGAGCAGGTATTGCTTTAAAAAGTTTATTAAAATTAATACTGAGATTTTTATTTTATTTGTCAGTTAAACAGGCAGAGAGATCATGAACATAATACTATTTTAAGAGGCAACAGCATTATACCAATGCGTCACGAACGACTAACTTTGATGAAAATTCTAGTGTGGTCGGTTGACGCACTTAAGAGGTTGCAATGGCTGGCAACCATAGCCGAGGCATGTCAGGAGAAGAAAGGGGGTGCTCTCGCTTCAACGGTACATAGTTTTTTGAATAACGGAAATCCCACTGTAAAGTCTTTAGTTCGTGAACTTTTGATTGCGATTTGTGGTCCACTTTATCAAATGCTCTCGCATTGGCTTTTGGAAGGAGAAATCTGCGATCCACATGGAGAGTTCTTCATTGAATGCTTGGCAGAAGTTGGACCTGATCGCTTGTGGCATGATAAATATAGAGTACGCACAGCTATGCTACCAAATTTTATGTCAACTGAAATGGCACACAAAATTTTGGTAACAGGAAAGAGCATCAATTTCTTGTGTGAAATATGTGAAGATAAGAGACCAGTTAAAGGGCGCGATGAATTACGTCTATGTATTGAAGAAAATGGTAAGAATTGAAACTTACAATGATTTAATAAAAAATAATAAACAAAATATATGTATTAAAAGCGGACCACATATTTTCACGAGTAGCCGATACGAAATTGCATTCAACCATCGATGCTATTTACTTGAATACTTCAAAGCGTGTGCTAGATATTGTCATGGGTCCACATAAGCTTCTGGAACATCTTCAGGCAATGCGTCGTTATCTTCTACTTGGACAAGGAGACTTTATTGGAATCCTTATGGAAAATTTGAAGTATGAATATAACGGAGATAATTTGTCAGTATATACATGTAAAATAATCATACTGACCTGATTTATAATTTATAGATGCGAGTTAGATAAACCAGCAAAGGAACTTTACTCTTATGATCTTTCATCGATAATGGATGCCGCCATACGATCAACAAATGCACAATATGACGATCCAGAAATTCTTAATCATTTAGATGTGCGGTTGCTAACTCCCTGCGACGGCGATATTGGTTGGGATATACTATCGTTACAATATACCGTACGTGGACCTTTAGCTACAATGCTCGAACCGTGTATGGGCATTTATCAAATTCTTTTCAAACCTCTATGGCGTATGAAACACATGGAATTCGTACTATCCTCTAAAATTTGGAAGGATCAAAAGTGCAACGCCAAGGTAAGTTATAAATAATTTGAGTATATTTATATTATTCAACATTGTTTATATTTAACTTGGAATACAGTTTACATACACATTTATGTTGTTGTTGTTAACAGTTACATCCAATAGCACTTTTATTTGTAAATGGGTGAATTACCCCAGTTGTATCGTAGTGGTTTATTGATTATTTATGTAGATCTCCTGATGAAATTTCGTCAAAACATAAAAACAAAAAGTAAAATATGGTCGTACTGATTTTCATTGATCGCTTACTTAATGTGTTAAATATTTATAAGATGATAATAGCCGATGGGGTAGAGTTCGTCAGAGAGAAATTAGCCGGTAATCTAATCCAAAACGAATTTATATGTCCATAAAACATGTGATAAGTGAAGAATAAGTAAAAGCACATGTAATTCAATATCCCATCACTAATACATCACATACATAAGTAAAAATTCAGCATTTTTTAAATTTATTTTTTGCATACAATATAATCGCCAGCATTAAATTATGCTCATAAAACAATGTTTTTGCCCTTTACATTGTATAAAATTGAACTTATCTCCCGAATGTTTAACTAATTTTATAACACCAATATAAGAATTCCAATGGAATAAATGATAAATAGAATGTTGTAGTTTATTTGAAATAAAACGCCATTTGAATGTCCTTACAACTTGGCCTCTGTCTTAAGCAGAGGTGCCAATTTTTGTGTTAACATTATGTTACCGGAAATCTTTAGTTTGCCTTTCATAAAAGCGGCTTGAGGATTCAGTTTTCCGAGAGCAATGTCCACCATGTCTTCATCGGCCACTGTCAATGTAGTGTCGACTTTAATACCTTGTGCTGGACCTTCGTATGCTTTAGCGTTTTTGCAATCCAGAGCTGTAAATAATATATGTACATAGGTATATCATATTATTTGTTGTGTACACATATGTAAATGTATGTTTTGTATGATTTATGAACTTTGAACCTTTTTCAAAAAGGGTTTTCGAACTTGACGATCTCGACTATTAATTGAACAAAAATCAAACTAAATAATTGGACTTAGTCACCACTTACTCCACTCTTTAGCCACTTTGCCATCTTTGGTGATTTTGTAGAGAAACACCCCATTTATAGATTTCGCCTTTGCTTCGTTCCCTTTTAGGCCATCGATAATTTTTTCAAATACGGCATCAGATGCAAGTGACATTTTAATAAATAGGAGCAATATTCTTGTAAAAATATAATATATTAGTCTTTAATGCACTATAATCAAAGTCCACACAATGCTGACAGGCGAAAAGGCAAACGTCAAGTAAAATGAAAAATTGCTTCACATGTGGATTTTATGTCGATTGCGCTGTTCTGCGTCGAAAATGCTTCGGAATGTATACAAACATGTTGCCCATCTACCTATCGACTTCAACCTCAGTGTCAACATATTGTGTATTTTTAAAGTGCAATTACTCATCATCGTATAGTATGGCCGTTGTCGTAGTAAACATAGAAAAAGAAAAGATTTCCGTACAAATACCCAGTAGAACTGCGTCAGTTTTATTGTTTCAACTCTGTATTCGCATTTTTTTTTAACTGAATACGAGTATGTTTAACGACTGATAAATACCATAATGATGATTAAGAAAGTACAAAAATTAAGGTAAATGTATAGTTCAGGTCCCACAACAAAGGAGGACGCGAAAATGATAATGTTTTTAATCGTCTTATTTTGACGGTGAAGATGAGAATTAAAATAAATTTTTTCAAAAATATTTATATATGTTTAATACACTTTGCACACATTTTTAAAATAACTTATTTGTAATTACTCTTTACACATTAATATATATCCAAAATACGGATTTATAGTGCGATTTTTAAGAAAAAAAGTATATTTTGAAACTTACTTGGCACATCCATAAAATTCTGGCGATACCAACTCCGGGTCCCTGGTCGGTCCAACTCCGGGGTGTTCATAGTATTTTTGCGTGCAGTAAGGAGTTCGACGCGAAAGAACCCTAAACACCCCGGTTTTGTACCGACCGGGTTTATTTTTTTGAAGCGCGGCCGAAGACCGCTATACACGACAGTCGGGTCCACGTAATCGGAACGGACCGGATTTTTATCCGGCCAAGGACTGTCAACTCCGCATAATTCTGCCACTACAACAACAACACCGCCAGTGCAGAAAGGAGTTCGACGCAAAAGGTGTTTATTTTATTTTTTTTTTTGTAAAAAGCAATGGTGGAATCTTTGAAGATATTAATCACACCGGATCACTATAGCACATAGCTACAAACTTAACGATCGGAATCAAGTGCTTGTATGGAAAACTTTTTTATTTGAGGGGATATTTTCACGAAATATTGCATAGGTTGTTCAGATCGAACTATAGCATATAGCTGGCAAACAAACTGACCGATCAAAGTTCTTATAAGGAATCTTTTGAATTTGTGAAGGGAATTATAGCTTCGGTGCAACCGAAGTTAACATTTTTTCTTATTATGTCGTTTAACATATGTATATAGTCTTTCATTTCTATTTTGCTATCATGTTGTCTTTGTTCTATTATATATATAAATTATTTGAATTTAGTTTAATACAAATTTGCCCAAAATCTTTTCACCATTTTAGCCACTCCGAGCTGTGGGCAGTGAACTGAATCAGGTGCTCTATCGCTTGCATCTCCTCACATCCGAAATGATACATTTCATCCATCAGATGCAGTATTACATACTCTTCGAAGTAATCGAATGTTCTTGGGCTGAACTGCAGGATCGTGTACAAAGTGCAAAGGCATTAGATGACATCCTTGATGCTCATGACGAATTTCTGAATGCCATTAAATGTGGCGCTTTCCTTGACTCTAATTCGGGACAGTTGTGCCAGAATATGGAAAATGTGTACGATGGTATAATACGGTTGGAGTTGTGGCAGAACAAATTCTACGAAATCTGCTTCAAAGAGTTATCAGCTCGCAAAGAGTATGACAATCACATATTTATATCTGAAGAGGCAGGAGAATTCGGAGTAACTGCTGAGCGTCAATTAGAACGGGATCAAGAGCGCAAGATATTCGAACAAATGATTGGAAGCTATCACAAGTCCCTGGACAACATTTGCGCCGATTATGAGAAGGCAGTACGCTGCTTTTTGTTGGCACTGAACTCGCATAACGATCATAATTTACAGCTGTTCGGCATACGTTTGGACTTTAATGAATATTACAAAAAGCGTGATCAACGCCTATGTGTGCCGCTGACTTTCGAGCACATGCGAATGAGTATTATGTTCAATGGGAATAAGAGTTTGGCGGGAAGTCGATATTCGGCTGTGAATTGACATACGCCCCTTTCACTGTGGTGCAATGCGGTCCATTTAAGAGACTACTGCTTTAACAATAAAAATATTCAAAAAATATCCAAAACCTATTTGAATTCCCCCACATTCCCACCCAAAGCTCATTCAGAGGATTTGAAGAAATATGCCAAGAAAAGAATTAATAAGCAATCTAACGAAAGCATAATGTTAATTCATCCGCTAAGGGACCAACAAATATTAGCAAAAAAAGATTATATTAGAGAAGATATGTATTGCAATCATCAGAGTGCCAATGCAATTTTGCCATATTATTTAACTACAGGTACTTCATTAGCAACTTCAATACGTCCCAAATTTATAGTCGAGAAGGATCGCTTTTATATGTCCTGCTGTGAAATCTTGTAAAGATAGTATGCCACGGCAACATCAGATGATTGTGGAACTTATTTAAATATTTCTACGCAAAAGTTTTGAAACGTTAAAAACTGCAATATTTTATCTGTGCATGTGATGGAAGGAATGTTATAGAAAAATGTCGATTGTATTAAACCCTAGGCATCATATTCGTTTAGTTGCCACATTGCTATTGTTGCTATGTTCGGTAATTTATAAAAAATGAAACCCAAATTAATGTGTATTGGTAGAAATTATATATCACTTACTTTATGGAATTTCGAAGTTGTAAGACCTAAATATAAACATATTCGTAATAGTTATAAGTTGATTTTTCTCATTCAATGACTTTAACTGTCAAAAGTATTTTGTTATTAGAATAAAATCCATTTAAGAGAGAACATTTATGAAGACAAACCATTTTCCATATTATCCTTTTATTATACATATATTTAACATTTATTTGACCGTAAAGCGAGGATCGTACTGTTCTAACACCAAGCTTAGAGTGCATATCCTTTCCGACTGATTACTGGAGTCAACAAAGAAAATAATGGTTATAACAAAACAAAAAACATAAATAATATTGATTATTATATATGTATGTATATTTGTTCATTCTGTATTCACTTTACAAACTTACTATGTATTATACAATATAATCATATTTTATTACAGTTCATATCTTAATTAGGGAACGAGTACTGCATGTACGTTTTCTCCGTTAGTCTATAAGGATATACGATTGTAGAGGCATTGTTAAAGGAATAGGCTTTATAGATTTCATAACTCGCTACTCTACAGCATTCATAAGCTTATAATTTCTATAAGTTGATATAAAATATTTTGACAGTTATGTATTTTTAAAGTCTTTAAAGCTAGAAAAGCTGTATGTATATGTAGTAGATGTGCTTTTATATATGTATGTATGCGTGGGGAAAGGACCTCTTTTGTTTCGAAACAATTTCAACAATCGTTAATATACATCTGTAAGTATAAGTTTAAAGGATTTTGTCATAACTTCCTGCCAAGTCATGTTTTGAACGCTTGAACACATTTTTATTCACTTGACGGAAAAATTGGGACTGTTGCAATGCAAATTATTTTGTGATCCACCTTCGTGATTCGGTACATATATAAAAAGTGATATTACATTTACATTTTGCATTGCAAGTCTTTTTCACATACTTTGTACATGTACACGTCAGCTTCAATCCTATGCAAAATATTGGCTTTGCTTAATGTTATCCTATACTTTAGTGTAATTATTAGCTATTGCAGCTTGATCGAAAATATAGCAAGGGACGGTTATGCAATATTAGAAGTGTGTAGAATCGCAAGTTAAATTATTTCCTTACTTGGTGTTGAAATGCCTATGGCTTCTTCGTAACCTCCTAACGACGATTCGAGAATACTATGTTTTTTCTCCTTACTGTGACTACGATGATGTTTAGCCTTTTTCTCTTTCTTTACGATGACGGTCCCCTTACCTGTATCTTTCGATTTATGTGATTTCTCCTTCTTGCGTTTTTCCACAGTTGTGTTGCTGTCGTCCATCGACGTTTTTGCAAAGCTCGTTACCCCCTCTGGTGAAATATCTAACAAATTAGTATTGCTTGTATTTGTATTACTTTTCGATTTCTTCTTTGATTTGGGTTTGTGGACACTATCTGAGTCTTTGTTGTGGCGTCCGAACTCTTCTACATCGTTCTCTTTGCTTTTGGACTTCTTCTTGTCTCGTTTCTTGGTTTTACCTTTTGAATCAATTTCATTTATTAATGTTTGGGAATTATTGTTTAGACTTTGGGGCGCGGGCTTCACTCGTCCTTTGGGCTCCTCCAGATCAGGACTGTAAAACAAATAATATACTACTTATAGCTCAAACCTTTTCGTTTTCGTTACTTACATATTTAAATCAATATTCAGAGCTCGATGGGGATCATTCGGATCGAACTTGCAATCTTTGTCTTCACTGTCCGAAAGAGCCACACCTTCAGGCATATCCATGATTGTGTTTACTATATGACGCGGTTTCGAGTCTGAAATTTTTTTTTTTTAATATGAGCGATTTTACTTTTAGCATTTAAAGACATACCATCCTCCGATTCAGAGCTGCTGTATGCCACTTTGTTTTTTGATCTTTTGCTTTTCTTTGACTTTTTATGTTTTTTCTTCTCCTTGCTCATTGTTTTCTCTTGTATTAGATAGCGATCAGAACGTTTCATAACTTTCAAATGAGAAAATATATACAAATAACGAAAATATAAATTGGTGAAAACTGATTTCCTATTGAATGGAATCCCAAACAACTTACCACCTATTTGAAGAGGTACATCCAAGGACAGTTCCGAAATCGGTATTTCATCAATATTGTCATATTGATCAACATTATAACTGGAGTTACTTGCAGTTGGGCCCTTCTGTTTATTCATATCTGTTGCTGAAGGTGAAGATTTAATATAGTGTGGGTTGTGAGATTGTTCTATTAGACGGGCCATGCGATTTCGTTCGATTTGCTCGGGAGTCAGCTCTTCACTCTTGCGTCGCTTACCCAATGTTCCACTGTCATTATGAACAGCTGACACAAACAGTTCATCTTTTTCTTCTTGGGACGAATTGCTACTTTCATCTTCAGGCGGCGCATTTATCCACTCATCTAAATCGAGACCGTCAGGAAGTGGAACTTTGCGTTGTGCTTTTGGAGCCACTGGTATAAGTTCGCCATCAAATAACAAAGTCATCTCTTGAACAATTTCGATTGCTAGAGTCGGTATAATAGCAGGTATTGTGGTTGTGTTATGCTCAGGCAAATTTTCAACCACCTCGGTAGAGAGTGTCACAATTGTGGTGCTTTTATGATAACTGCTGCTCAATGTCGCGCCAGTGTTAGGCGACTTACTGAATTGGGTACGGAGCATTTCAATTAGAATACATGATGCATTCGCACGCTCCTGCACTTCAATATCATTCGAACTACCAAAACTTTGAAGTTTCTCCAGAACATGATCACAAAGCTAAAATAAATCAAATTCTATAAGTAATAATGTTTATATAAAACTTCTATATAATCTGATACTCACTCGAATCAAGCCGGTAACATCCTTATTTTCCAGACATGTAGTTGCTAGTTTTGTAAATAATTTAGTAACATTTTGTACAAACACACCTTGTATATGGCCGGGTACTTGGCGTGGACGTAATAATATATTTAGAGTTCTTTCGGCATCTTCCAAATCGCTGCAGAGAAAACATATATAAAGTCGTGTAAATTTTGTAAAGCAATCTACTTACTTTGAAAATTCTCCCACGATCCAAGCTGCGGCGTATAGCACTTCATACATTGAATTGCTCTGCGAGGATATGGAGAATGTGTCCAACAAGTTGGTCATTTCATTCACTGCAAATTGACGTACAACTGGTACCCGTATGGCAACATCTAGCAGTTGCTCGGCGATTAAACGCCCTTAAAATGTAAACAATAAGTTAGTAAGATGAGTTTTAATGTGTTACATCATAATGCATACCGTGTTTAGAACCAGCTTCTAGTTGAATCAACTCAACCAGCACGGTTAAGTACCATTCGAAATTCGTAACGTACAAATAAGAACTCTGTGAGCAAATCTCAATTACTTTGAACAGCAATTCATCGCGATACAGCGATCCTTCAGCACGCTCCATGTGACCTAGTAAACGTTTGACGATTTCCATGAGATTCTTTTTTGAAACCATTCCATAAAGTAAATCGAGAGCACGAAGTCGTATCGATTCGTCCTTATCATCTAGGCACGCCAAAATTAAATCCTTGTGCTCTTGCACGCTTTTCGGGTGGGTTTTCAGAATTTTAGACATGGCCAACAGTCCCAGGTATTTCACTACATAAAATGGCGAAGGAATTTCAGGTAATAATTTAAACGCCGGTTAAGGTTCCATAACACTCCTTAACAATTCCATTCATATATACATACATATTAATACTCACAATTCTGGTCGGAATCCTCTATGAGAATGCGTAGTTTCTGCACACAAAGCTGTATTGAAGCACTATGATTCGGCATTCCGCTGCTAATACTGATGAGCACTGCGATCACTGTGTTTATGCACTCGTAAAGCAAACTCATAGCGGACGTACTATTCGGAACGAAGAAAGAAGCACAGAAATAACTTATTGTCACATTCAACTTTCATTCGTTATAATGCACTGGTACACAATTGATAAAATGCAATAACAAAAACAAAAGCACTGATCGCACGAACATGTGTCTTTTGCAAAAATTATAATAATAGTCTTGCTGTAATAAGTGCGTTATTTGTTAACTTTTGAAGAAACAAAAGTAAAAAATATGAAAGCAAATTGAACACATGAAGTTTGTATTGAGTTTGCCGAATTTTGAAAAAAATAGTATGTTTTTATACATGTAGCATGTATAAATACATTTGTCCATATAGTTAATATGGATGTGTACAACTTTGAAATCATTATGACAACAATAACACGACAATGAAACTTGCCTATGAATAAGATTTGTGAGAGGTTCTATTAATTTCTTTCCTAGCCGGGGTTCTAAAGGAGTTAAAGCGCCAAACTGCAAATGCAAGAGAAAAAGAAACAAGCAAAGAAATTATAAATACATAATTACATACACAAAACTTACAAAACTAATCAATATTTGTATTGGCTTAATTCTTTAAATATTCAGGAATGATATCGGAGTAATTGACAGCTGGTAGAAAGTGAGTTTTCCCGCCAAATAAATCAAAATCAATATTAACAAAAAATTATATACAAATGGATAGGCCACGCAGATTAAAAAAGTTTAAGTAAAAATCCTTTACAGGCACATGAATAGGTACTTATTGCTAGAAATGTATTAAAAAAAAAAAACATTTACCAATAGCAAAGTCAATTGCCTGCAGTAAAAGTACAACAAACAACAACAATGTGAGCAGAATAGCTTAGAAGGTTTCGCATTATGGAATATGGTATTCGAAATTCCTGCCAACTGACAATACAAACTTAGTAACACAAATAAATAACATAATAAAATTAGTAGCAATACTTTTTCGAGCCGAAAAGTGCATTTCTTTTGTTTTAAATAAACGTGAAAATAAAATAGGATTTAAACAATGAACTTTTTTGAACGCAATGAAGGACAAATAATGGGTAAATCAAATATGCCACAAAGCAGTGCGTGCATAAAATTGATTTAGCGCCAAACGATATGGGAAAATCAGTAGGTGAGTGTCACTTGAAAAGCGCAACTATAAAACTAAAAAAATTAAATAATAAAAAAATGTTTTCAGATAGTGATTTAATAAAAACCTGGAAATAATTTCAATCAGGGGTTGCGTTAATTTGCGTCCTAACGCTGGCTCGATTGTCGTAAGGCTGGCAAACTTGATGATTATTTTAGATTGTTTAAAGCCGCAGAAATAAGAATTGTCATTCGGTAGTATCAAATGAGATAAGAGAGAAAAAAGAAAAATTAAAAAAAAGATTTAAAGGGAAACTTTCGCTAAGTCTCGTGGGGCATTTATAAAGTAGTTTTGAAAAAATTCACGCAAATTTGAGGATACATTTTACACATTTTTAAGTAATGAAAGTTTTCAAATAACTAAAATTAAATCACACAAAATATCACCTTTACCATAACATATTTAAACTTACATATGTACATTTTTATATATAAATACGGCTGAAGGAAAAATACTCACCAGTTTAATTATTTTAATTAACATCCAGTTGTTGGTGGAAGTCGTCATGAGTTTAAAAAATACTGGTGCTAAAGGCAGATAGTTCTTGGGATTTTTTCGGGCCAACTCGCAGATCACATTAACAGCAGCAGATTGTACACCTTATAACACATTTACAGAGAGTATATAGCTGAGATATATGTATAAGCAACAGCAGTGTACTTCAAAAACTAAAATACTTTCTATATTCCCACATTATTTTATCACGTTTGTAGAGATGGTGATATTAATATATATGGTACACATACCTGGATCAGGGTCCTCTAATTTTTCCTTAAGTTTTGGAAATGCAGGTCTTAATGCTTCTGGATAGCGTAAAAATACTTTATACATCATAAGAACAGCTTTCATACGCAAATACGGTTTTGTCGAGCTCATCTACAACCAAATAAATCCTACATTAATATTTGTCAGGGGTTAGCATGCTACAATTACTTACCAGAGTCATAATATCATTTGCAAGGTCCCGAGATAAATCGGGAGAAATGAAGCAACTAAGACCGCTTAAAGCCACACCAGCATCGTATTGATTTTGAGAATTCAAATCCTTGCGTATCATATTTGTTGTCAACATTAGTAGCTATGTGAAATTAATATTAAAGTGTATATTATTTTTAGTTTTTTTATTGCAAAAATTTTTACATACTTCACTATCAGGATGAAAGCATTGGCTTGCTGCCAAGTAGCCAATACGTTTGCATGTAAAGCGTGACGAGCTCATTACTTCGATTATATTAAACCCGGCCCATGAGATGTCATAACCGAGCATTTGTATCTACAAGTTGTGATATATATGTGTTAGAAATTTGATTTGCCTTAAAGATATTGCAAAGAAATCAATAAACAGAATTTAACCCACCATATATGTGTGTCGTGTATATGTATATAATCCAAGGTTAGAAATTTTGAGCAGCTTAGATTTGCCACTATTACTTTATACAAACACATTACTACTTACATATGTTAATTTCGCAACGGCATTGCACTTAACGTTGATGTTATCCTGTCGTAGTTCTTGTTTGATTTCCTCAATACATTGCGCTATGTATTTGGCCTATAAAGATAAAAAAAAATCAGTTAAAGTATTTATTGTAGACTACGAAACCGATATTAAATGCAAGTATATATATACTTTTTTTGGCATAAAACTAAATATTATATAGTATTTATAATTATGGTTGACCGCAAATAGTGATCCTTGATCTGTGTCAAAGACTTATTTATTAATTTTTATTATTAATTTAGTGAATTTAATTTATTTTAGTGAATTTAATTATTTGTTGGATAAAAGGAACAGTGAAGTGCTTGACTGTCGGTTATTTTACTATTATTCAAAGACAATTCTTTCCATTATTTTTACATTAAATGATGCTGGTTGAAGGTGTACAGTATCCAGAAATAGGTAACAGTTTGATACAAATCTCTCCAAATACACAAATAATACAATTGATAAGAAAGGTGAATACATATTTACAATTCTGTGTGTGGTTATGTACATCCATACGGATTTATATGGATAAGAAAAATGAAATATATATATTCATGAAATATACATAAAGAAATAAAATATGGAAATACATTTTACCTCGTTGTCCTTATTATTCCTTATGCCTCGCACAAGATCCGTAAGATTCTTGTCAAACATACGTTCGAAATTTCCCTTCACTTTTTTTAAAGCCATTTCGTCGTGCTAACACACAAATTCAGTTGGTAGTGTTTATCAGATTATTTCATCTATTTTTAGTTTAATATCCTGGCAATGGATGCTTTACTTCGAGTCGGCTTCAAAATTGTACTCCTCAGTTTTTCGAAAGCATTCATACATTTGATGATGTCGACAAAAATTTCCTCTTTTGCTAATTGATTTTTTCACTTTACAAAACTAATTCACCTTTTCTGTTGAAGACAATATCTTATGGCTAATAACGCTTTGTGTTATAAAGAATGGATCTCAATATTTTTAAATCTTCATATTAGATAAATTGAGGTCATAAATTCAATAAAAACAAGTCTAATAGAATTTCCAAAAACTTTACTTCAACTATCGCAAACTGACAAATGAATGAATGAAAGAAACTGCAAAATGAATGCAATAAGACAGTGCTGCCATTACTACAAATTTACTAAGTCCTGTGAAATTAAAAAAAGCCATATCGACTTCTTTTAAACAAAGTGATAATAACTTTAAATAAATATAATAAAATTTTTATTCAACTAGTATTTAAAAATAAAAATACAAGGTGCGTTCCAAAGTAAACAGTAAAAAAGTAACAAAGTAAACTGTATTGGCGCCATATATATGTCGACTAGTGCGTTAGAATCTGCTATCCTTTATCGACTTCCTGTAAAAATTTCATGACATTTCATCTATTGGAAGTGAAGTTATTGCGTTTTAAGTGTCAGTATGTTTTTGTCATCGGTGCGAAAATAAACTTCGAACAAAGAGCTAACATTAAATTTTGTTTAAAAATTGGTAAAACTTTTACCGAAACGTTTCGAATTGATGAAACAAGTTTATGGCGATGATCATCATCAGCCGAAATCATCATTGAAATTCAAGGAAATAGAATTGAACATCTCCAAAACACCGATTTATCGCATTTTGACCGAACACTTGGGCTTACAAAAGGTGTGTGCACGGTTTGTTCCGCACAAAATGACTGACGACCAAAAATTGCTCAGAATGCAACATTCGAGGGACATCATTAAAGAGGCAAAAAAGACCCGAACTTCCTTTACAAGATTGTGACTGGTGGCGAAAGGTGGTGTTTTCAATATGATCCCGAAACGAAACGTCAGAGTGCTGAATGAAAGGCATCGGACGAGCCGAAACCCAAAAAATGGCGCCTGGAGAAGTCAAAAGTGAAGACAATGCTGATTTGTCTTTATGATTCCAAGGGTATTGTCCACAAAGAATTTGTTCCACCCGGCCAAAACGTTAATGCGGTATTCTACCTTGGAGTTTTGAAGCGTTTGGTGCGCCGTATTCGAGTTGCTAGGCCCGAATATCGCGAAGATTGAAGTTGGCGTTTGTTGCACAATAATGCGCCGTCTCATCGATCGACGCTTGTGGCCGATTATTTGACCAAAAATTACATTTTAACAATCAACCACTCCCCGTATTCACCTGATATGGCACCGTGCTACTTCTACCTTTTCGGAAAAATACATTTGCCGATGAAAGGAAAGCGTTATGCAGACGTGGAGGCCATTCAAAAGGCTTGCACCGGCATACTGGCGGCCATACCGAGCAACGAGCTAAAACACTCGTTCGACATGCTTTTGGACCGTGCAAAAAGCTGTATAAAGCAGAAACTGAATAAAATTAATTGATTTTGCCGATAAAACCATTTGTTCTGTATTTTTTTTTAAAGTCCTGTTGAATTTGGAACGCACTTGTATGCTTCATTCATCCAAATCTTTTATTAATATTATAGTCCAATCATATACTTGTAAATGGAAATATTAACACCAAGCCACACAGAGAAATTACAAATCGGCGTCTAGACATAACAATTTTCCAAATATTATTTTGGAATCTGTTTAATTGTTACAAAGCAACAAACTCGCAATTTAATACCGATATTAAAGTGTTCCTATTGTATTATTTCCGTATCCTCACAGTAAATTTTAACACTTTAACTGAAAACGAAATTTATTTAAAAGCGATAATTTAGAAATTCTTATATATATATGTATATGCATTTACTTTGAAATAAGTAAATAAATACATTTGCTATCGCAATTCTCTAAAAATAAATCAAAGGAGTGAAAAACCAGTTAGTTACGAAATACCATTCAAAGTAGGAATTAAATACCATCAGCAAATACATACATACATATGTGTTAAATACAACTTAATGGACATATAAATTTATTAAGGAATAAAATCGTTTTAAGACAACTTAAAATAAGGTTAGGTTAAAAGAGGTAGATAATAAAAAAATATATAAAATGTTTAAGTTATAATAAGTGGTTATCGTATGACAATTTTAGAATTGATTATAGTACAATAAAGTGCATATATATACAAATTATAATAAATCTTCAATGAAAGAACAGGTATTAAAATTATGTACCCACAATTGTTTATTATATATACATATATATATATATATATATATATATATCAACCAATTATACTTATATGCAGTTTTTAATTAATTTAAAACTACTTATTTTTCATCTTACAGTTTTTTGATCAATTATTTGGTAAGAATAGCTTCGTTCGCATTTTTTATAAAGTACAAAATTAAAAATATAAACTGTAACCTGTAATTTTTTAACTGTACTCCAGCGGTAAAGAAATGCGCTCTGGTTTGTATGTACATGTATACTGTTTCATCTTATGGAAATAAAACATACAGACATACACACATACTTCACATATCAATCAATTACGATATATGTAATTCGCATTTTCTTTTTCTAATGTTGGAAACCCACTAATTTTGCCATTCAGTGACTTTTAATTAAGCATCATTTACAAACATATCAGCAACAAGACGATTTTTCTGGCTCAGCCATAACCAAATTAAAATCTAAGCTATTTGGACGTGCAAATCCAGTTTTTATACCATCCCAGCCATCCTCTACTTTGTATTCTCCTGAACGTATTCGTGCATATACCTCCTGTGTAACCATACGAAAAGCTTCTTCAACGTTAACACCATTCCTAGCTGAAGTCTCAACAAAATGCAAGCCATTTTGGTTGGCAAAAGTTTGTGCTTCCTCTGTATTTACTTCTCGACGACCACCGGCATTTACCAGGTCTAATTTACAACCGACTAATGCAAACACTGGGCGATGCGGTTCAATGTGGCGCTGGGCTTCCATCATCCAAAGCGAAATATGTTCAAAGCTAGCATAATTTGTTATGTCATATACCAACAATACCCCAACCGAGTTTCGGTAGTATGATTTTGTAATTGAGCGAAAACGTTCTTGACCAGCTGTGTCCCATAGTTGGAGTTTTATTTGGGTTCCATCCTTCATTTCCATCAAGCGGGCAAAAAAGTCAACACCAACAGTGGGGTCAGATAGCTGTAACATTAATTTTAAAATAATTCTGTCAATATATCTTCATATAAAGCATGTAAACATTGTTATAAGCAGTAAAGTACAAACATACGTTACGGTATACTAGCTACAAGCATATGTTCTATAAAGAAGGATGATTTATCAATTAGCACATCTTTGTTTATTTGTATGTATGTGCTTACTGTCTCTGTTCAATTATGTAATTTACATATCAACATTTTTTTTATTTTTCTATTGAACTGAGCAGTCCTAGAAGTTTCTTACCTCGGCGAATTTACCATCTGTAAAGAATTTGAGTAACGAACTTTTGCCCACTGTACTATCACCAATTAGAATCAGCCGAAATTGGTAATCAAAAATAGGTTCAACCATTCTGCAAGTTGTATCTAATAAAGATTGAGATATAACAAATACAGCGCAATTGCTATAATTTTCCCACACTTTATTCAGTAGACGGATATAGTATGTATACTTTTGTTAGACACCTTCTCCAAAATCCGTTTATTGTGAAGATTTACTATATCAAATCTGATTAAAAATTATTAATACGATTAATATTTTCTACAGAGCTGCTAAAGTTTCAAAGAGTATATAATGGTTTCGTTTATATTGATTTGGTTCACTATTGGTAATATTGTAAGGTATTTAATTCCAAATGGGGAATCAAATTTAGTTACAATGTCTTCAAGGTAATATTGCGACGTATTTGCTCTCTGTTCATCACTTGCGTTTTATCTTGCAAACTTGAACTTTGTTTATAATATTAGGAGAAAATTGACTATTGTTTTTTGTTATTTACTTCGTTACATTCACTATGAAAATTAGATGCTGATAATCAAGTGTGAGTGATAAAAAGTGGTTTGCCTTCATATGTCAAACAATTGACTACAAAAGAAGGAAAGAAAGACACATTTTTGACGTTTTCTTTAATTCCTGACAATTTTGTTCAAAATGGGAATTCAAAAATACATAAATTTATTATAGACATAGTCGTGTGTTTTTGGTATTCATTACAATTGTAAGACGATTTATTATAATTATTTAGCAAATATTACGAACGATATATGAAATCCACAATTTTTGGGTGGACCTTATATATTTGTGTGTTCATGTGTAGTTTGTATTTATAGTGAATGGCAAATCCATTCAAACCTAAGAAGAAGAAAGTAAACAAACACATGTGAGCTAATTTTGTTAGAAATAATACATTATTCTAGATAGCCGTGAAAGAAAATGGTGCGTAGCAGAAAAATTCCTGCCCGCAAACACCATGGAGTTCGAGACCCACTAAAACAACTTGAAGAAAAAGAAAAACAGTATTACTTTCTATTTATATATATAATAGCATAAATATAATCATATACATATTTTTAGACTTAGGAAAGTTACGAACAATCCTCCTGAACGTGATAATCAGCAAGTTTCTTTCAAATTTGCACAATTTAAAAAGCTGGTTGAAGACACCAAAGCTGGTAAGAAAATTAAGCGAATCCATAAAGGAAAAGAAGATATACCTAAAGATAAATTAACACATCCCAAAAAAAATGGACACATTCAACAATTAAAAGAAGAGTCTGATGAAGATTACTTAAAGCGTGTGAATAGAATAACGTCCCAATCCTTGCGGGAAGCACAATATGAAGCCAAGTATGGTGTAAATGTTATTCGAAATCCAAAAACTGGAGAAATTTCAATAATCAAGAAGCCAAAGAATGAAATTGATGAATTACTAAGAGAAAAACAAAAGAATAAAAGTAAAGGTAATATGTCCAGAAATAAAGGAAAAGAAAAAACAGGAAAGCCTCTGGATCCAGAAGTTGCAAAAGAATTGATTAAACAAGCCATTAAGGAAGATAAAGTAGAGGTAAATTTTGCATAAAACGAAATATATTTTAAAGAAACCTTTACTATTTAATGCAGAAATCTCATCAAAATCACGATTTGGATGAATATAAACATGATGTAGTACGCTTTGGAGAAATTGTACATGCACCTCCAACATTTACAACGTTGCCTCGAAGAGCTGAAAAATCTGAGACCGTTCCAAGAGTAAGATGATAAAACATATGCTCGTATGTATGAATACCATAAGGTTCAACTCTTTTTTAACTTTCAGCCAGGAAAAAAAGCCAATTTACTACTGAAAACACTATTGCCTGATACCAAATGTGATCACGATCAATTGGAGAGTAAATGTAAACCAGTTTCAAGTAAAGTAGAAAAAGTAAGTCTTAGCGGTAAGAGGAAAAAACTTCCTGTTGCTACAAGAAAAATGATTGAAGACGAACAAAGCAAATTTATCGAAATTTATAGGAATATGAAGAAAAAACGAGTATTGACATCTTGATAATCAGGCTTAGAATTACAGTGTAATGTTTATTTTAAAATTAAAAGATAACAAAACATATTTCAAATAAAAATCGTCTATTTCAATTAGCTAAAAGCCTGTCTTTTTTGGCTATGATTGCATTTCATAATGGTTAGATTAACAATACAACTTTTAGCTAGCCGTCAGTTTAAGTTTGTTATAGTTGTTACTTTTTGATTTAAAGTAACAAATCTTTCGGAGTGTGTTAGATTATTATATACGCACGGTACAGAGTAGTAATTTGGTTTTTGGTAAATCTAACTTTCCGACAAAGTTAGAAGCGATTGCACCGCGATTTATAATGCACCCGAACGCTTTTGTAATAGTTGTGCAAAGCGCTGCGTGACTAGCAATGATGTATCAATGAAACGATCAACGCAATTGCTTAAACATGTTTCTGTCGAACTGTCGAGTTTCGAACCTGGTTTGCCAATGCACTTCTCCCAACAGATATCATTGAACTCATGTATCTGTAATATCGGGAGATATTATTGCATATTATATTTACTAAAATATAAGGTTAAAATTATACTAACCTGTGCATTCACTTGAGCCTTTTGTTTTTCAATCATCAAAAATTCCTGTAGTTCCTTATCGCTTGAAACCGACGATAGTGAATCAAAATCAGACATGATTTACAATTTAATTTAAAACAATTATTTCTAAAATAACTATATTAGAACAGCAATTGACAGCAATACCTGACCAGCTCTAATATCAAAAATTTATATAACCTCAAATAAATTATGTTCCACAAAAATTACAGTCAGATTTGCAGATGTTTTCCTTATACTACATTTACATAGAAGTTGGAAAATACATTCTTAAATTTTATTTATAAAAAGTAAGTTATGTAATATCTGTATAATCTGCTACAATAGTATGTGAACTACTATAAAAGACATCAAACAATCAACATAAACATCATGAAATAGCCATCTGGGTATTTGCTAAAGTATATAAATTTTTGTTTGGTATATATACGTATACATATAATTATTTCAAACGCAAAGATCTTCCTTTCAGGAGTAACACTGACAAATCCAAATATAATATTTGTTTTACTATTTAGTAAAACATTTGTACTACCAAAAATAGCACTAGTAAAGTAGTTGTACTAAGTTTTTCTGACATTCGCTGTCATTAATATTACATCAGCTGATTTTGTTTCTTCGAAATAGGCAAATTAAATGCAAATAAGCTAAAGCAGAAAAGTTATTTAGCCGGATAAGAAATATATTATTTCTTTGTTTTACATCAAATTTCAAACGTAAATTGTCAGACGATAGTGTGAAAATTGTGTCTATAAATAATAAAAGAAACCCATAATGATCCGAAATTGAAGTTTTAACTCCAATTAGTTTGTTATCAAATAATAATAATAATGAAAGAACAAAAGTTGTTACTTATTCTTTCGCAGTCGTTAATTGGTTAGTAAAGTGGTTCCTCATCAGATACACCAATTGTGCTTTTCAATCGCGGTCATACTTAGATGAATTATTGATTTTCTAGAATTTCGTATTAATGCCTATAAATATTATATATTCATAGTTAATTAAGTATATGATTAAAATGATATGGTCAATTTGTATAGGCACCGGCTTTTTCTTTTTGTATGTTCAACATGTGCGTTCAATATTTGAGTCCCGCACCAACATTGCATATTTATCACAATTAGAACGGGAGTCTTTGTTGCGGCGGGAGGACTCGCTCTATTATTCATTTTATAAGACACTTACAGAGGAAGCAGACTTTTGGAGCGGATACGATAAACTAACAAATTTAACTGGCATCGAATATCCCCAAAATGTGAATGTAATACAAAGGTTCCATGTGTTACCAGAATTGACAATAGGGTATAAAACCAAAAATGTAAATGCATATCGGTTATAATATAATAAAAAATATAATTATAGATATCTCTACCATTTGCTAAGGCGGTATGCTTTCACAGAAAACTTTCCAATATTTAGTTGTTGGCGGAGCAACGATGTTCGTTTACCTTTGGAACATCGTCATTGTGACGGCTTTGGACAACCCATGCAGTTTTACTTGGAATGCGTATGGCTTCTTGGCGGGGTCACTGTTCTAGTTATTTATATATATGGGACATTACTGAGGTAAAAGTTTAGAAAAGCAATTTTTCGTTATGGGTATATATGTGTTTTTTATGATTTCAGTGAAAATATATTTGGAGGCATTTACGCAGTAGTTTCTTATGTTATGTTTCACAGTTTTGCTTCAAAGATCTACGATTCACCTATGGCACGTGAAAATTTTGCCTTTCCAATTATTTTCATGCAAATGTTTTACCTTTGTTTGTGTATTGATCGCATCACAGAACGCAAAGCATATCATAAGCGGTTTTTTATAGTAAGACCAATATATTTTTTGTGTTTTATGATTTTCATTAATTATTGATTCCATGTGATATTTATAAATATATTTTACAGACCATCAAATTGACGCTGCTGACAGCCGTTGCTCTTCTCTGTTGGCAGTTTTCTTCTGTTATTTTTGCAACTCAGGTTCTTATTATGATGGCTCCTTGGACGCCAAGTTCAATATCTGAGGTGGTTTCTAGTACTTTTACTATTGATTATGCGATCTCGCAACTTATTGCCACATCACTAGCCTACTACTGTTCCTTTAACAACAATAAATATATTTTCGCCTGGCATATTGGTCCAGCAATTGGACTTCTGTTTCTCAGTATAGAGCGACAAGTCAAACCTCAATCTCCTAATAGTGGCGTTTCGCTCAAAACCATTTGGGCGGGCTTATTAGCGGCAATTAGTGTACAAGGAACTTTATATGATATGTTGGAGAGAACAGGATTCGCACGTTCAATTGACAACGGGTTCGCTTTATATCGTGATTTAATAGTGCAATGGAGCTTCCAGGCAAAAGTGAGTTTCACTACCAGCATTGCGGCCTGCAATCCAGCTTATCAGAATTTGAATATTGCCCATTTGTGGGAGCTTATAAAGACTCTAATTGTGAAGCCATATTGTATGTACGGTGTCGTGATGTTGGCAAAGTTTTTTCGCAAGTGGCGTAAGGGTAGTGAAAAAAAAAATCCCAGCAAAGATAATGTGGAACGAGCCAAAAAATATGTGCTTGAGGATTTTTTGGAAGAGAACCACATATCAATCTGTGATATGTCAAATAAGGAGACGGAGAATGATTTAATTGAATGTCTTAAGTTACTAGAAGATTGTGACTATGACTACAATCGCTATAAACAAGAGAGAACTAAGTCGAAGAACAATAAAGGCATTGAACACGAAGAGTTTATGAATAATATAAAATTATTAAAAGAGCAAATTAAAGAAGGTAACCAACGAAGAGATCAGAATAATCGAAACATTTCTAAAAGTAATCATTCTGAGAATTCAGGAGAGCAACAAGAAGAAAGTACTGATGGAAATATGAAACCGTCCACAAGTGAGGATAAAGCAACAATAAACAGTAACTCGATCCCAGTAGCACCAAACGTAGAAATGAACGATTCTGGGAATGATGTGAATAAAGACACTTTTACCGATAGTAGTGGCATACCGAGTGGTATAAAATGTGACGATACCAGTAAAAACACACGACGTTCACGGCATAAAAGCTCGGACTGCGAAGTTTCCAAAGCTGACTATCATAGCGAGATTTTCAGTTTCCATTATGTCTATAGCTTTGTGCAAATGGCGGTTTTTACCGCCTTAGGGCTTAGTATAAAAAAATTATTCTTCCTTTGTTTCACTCAAGGTTGTGTTATTGCGCCGACAATATGCTCTAAGTTTTGGTATCGCAAACAACGCAATATATTTTGGGCAGTATCATTGGCGGTTTTTTTAACCAGCATGGTCAATCCCGGTTTAGTAGTGAGTATTAACTAGAGCGACATCATTTTCAGCATTAAGTTTTTAAAATCCTTTTTATTTTTCATCCGTGAAACGATTTTAGAATATACGTGAAGAATACTTTCCTACACGCCAAGGACATGCTAGTGATGATTTAGATAGCATGTTGGAATGGATAAAAATTAATACGGAGCGTGACGATGTTTTTGCAGGTTTTACTCAATAATTACAATTTTCTCCAAATGCCTTTATTATTGCCATTTTGAAAATTGCAGGTCCAGTAGAAATTATTGGCACGGTGCATTTAGTTACTAGACGCCCGATTGTAAACCACGCCCACTTGGAAATACGTCATATCCAGTAATTATATATAAAATTTTTAGGTGTTTGGTTGAAATTAAACATAAATTGATTAGAATACCGAATTTAGATATAATAAACCAAGAAAATATGCATATCAAAAAGGGGTGCAATACATAACAGCCTAAATTGAGTTGCGCCCTTTTTTTGTACCGTATGTGGTTGTGACTGTGAGATTGAAGATTTCGTTTCGAATTCACCTTGTGTCTTGATAACATATTTAAAAGTGTCTGTTTTATATAATGCACATAATATTCAAGTCTTAAATCATTGTAACATGCTTTTTTAATACGGTTTGTTTTTAATATTGCTGTTCTATATTGCAGTGAACGCACCGAACATGTCTACTCAGTGTTCAGCCGCCAACAGTCATCTGATATTTACAATCAATACTCACAACTTAAAGTGCAATATTTGATTATATCACTCCAGGACTGCAGCAATGAAATTCGGTACGTAAATTTTACGATATGTTGTTTTTATATATGCATAAAAATATTTGTCTGTACTTGTTATTTTATATATTTTAGTGATGAATGTGACCTACTTTCGATTTGGGATGACCTGCAGCCGTCGAATCGCAAATATCCGCAATTTTGTTCAGAATTGGCAAACAAGAATATACCTAGCTTCTTGAAAGTATTCTCTAATGATTATTACGGTATTATTAAGATGTTTTCGCAGAGTGTACAAATTAATTTGAAGCTCAGTAAGATGCCCGAAAAAGTAATGTAGCCAAGTAGTCAAACTTGCTTCGACTGTAAGTAAGGCAATGGTAGATAAAATTGCAAAGAATTTAAAATGTCAATTATGTTACTTTATTTATATACAAAGTTTAATGTTTTAATGTTACGTTCATATTTTATATTTATTGTAATTTTGACAAGAGACATTTTAAGCCTCGATATACTACGATTAAACATCTATCTTACTAGTATATATTTCATAGTTGTGGTTAAATGAAAATAATTTTTAAGAAATAGAAATTTAAACGACTGTAGATGTCCTAATGTATATATATATATACATATGAGAATATGAAAAGTGTAGAAAGCTACACAATGAGCAACACCTACACAGTTTTAACTCAATTTGAAATAACAAGCAGATTTAAATATTGAAAATTGTTCAAAGAGAAATCTTTATATCATGAAAGTTTTTTTAGATAATTTTTTTCTTTATTACCTCGAATGCCAAGTTTACTGAATTTTTAATTAGACTGCCCTCTTGCATTCCATTTCAGGCTTATTTGTATAACCTGCAGTTAAAAAAATTATAATGAAAATAACTAAGTTTAAAAGTTTGAAATTAGCGACCTTTATTAATTTGTATATTTTGTATGAAAAAGTGGCCTCTAGTTGACTTTTATGTTACATGCATTATTCATATCTACATTTTTTGTTTTCGATGGGTAATTATTTACAATTATTTGTCATTGAAGACAGTGCAGAAAACCGTGTTGCAAGCGTGATGTTTATTCGTAAAGGAAACATTTCACATGCAATAAGGCAATCATAGTTTTTCTTGTAATTAAGGGCTAATGTCCGGTTTATGAAATATGCTAAGAGTTTAAGATGCATAAGATAATATATTTTGTTAAAAAAAAAAAAAAATATTGTGTACATATGTATTGGCTGTTCTCAACTACTTTTAAATTGTTGAGTTCTAAGGATAAAGAGACTGCTTCCATATCTCAACTAACCCTAATGCATGGGAAATAATGTAATAAATTGTATTATTCTTAGTTAAATATTTGGCAGATATGTTTCCACTAGATTTTGAGTATACTTTATTTTTTTTGATAGCAAGTAAATCCAGTAGAAAAATAAACAGACAATATTTTACAGTTTAAAAATAAATCTTACAGTATTCATTTGATCTTATTTTTTTCAGTGTTTTCAATTTTTTTACTTCAAGGAGTCTAGTAAATGGCAAAATAATGTACTGTTACGAACTGTGCGACTAACCATATTAACAGCTGCAATTTAATAACACTATATCGAACTAGGAAGCCAATGAAATAAAAATATGTATTACTTTCATTACAATTGTGTTGGTTCGTAAAATGTGATTTACTATATTTATAAATAAACTTATCAAAACAAACTTTACTTACTTACACTCAGTTAAGTAGTAATTGTATGTTTTCATTGTTTAAAATCAGGCAAACATGTAAACTTCTGAAATTTAATGTAAAAGTGAACATTTGCAAAGTGTTCAAATCAAGGGAGTTTGAATTCTTAAACGCTTAATGTAGCTTTATGGTCTCTATATAAATACAAACCTTTTAAACTCAAGCGCCACTATATTGTACATGAATATGTCGGGCTTATTTTAACTTGGACACCACCATTTTTTCTGCATTAAATTTCATTCAAAATAATATCTATTAGATCAATTTTCAACGTATATGTTTTACCATTTATTCCTATTTAGATACGACTCATTGAAAATTAAACTCCATTTTTATTTACTCGTACACTTGTAAGTTCTACCACAGGCACGGAGATCTCCAAATCCTGAATATATATATATATATAAATGTATATATATATAGTAGAAATATGATTTTAATTTTAACTGTTTTATTTTTACTCAAAATATTTATATTCTGGTATAATATGAAAGAGTATAAAAACTAACAAACAGTAAAATAAGCAATTAACGAAAATTTTAAATGTTAATGATCACTAAATCAATAGCTTTTTTTGGTGTTTAGTTGGCAACTCAACTTACTAATGAAAATGTAATATATGATACTGAAATACTGATTAACTTACCCTTCACTTTAGTATTATTTTCTATTGAAATGCTGGTTGATAAATTATAAAAATACTTTGAATCTTCACTTTATTTTTATTTGTATAAATTTATTTAATTACAGTTAATTTGCGACATTTACATATAGAAGTACCTTTTAATATTCGAAGCATATTCAGCGGTGTTTCGGTATACTTTGGGGGCTTTTATCAACTCACATACTAACATGGCGTTTTTCCATCATACAAGTATATGTATATATTCATACATATGTATGAATGTATTTTCTATTAAGGTAAACCATAAATCATAAATGATACATTAGTCTCAATGATTGCTTTTAAATTAAGAAAGCAGTTATTTAAGATTTCATTACAATCTCTAAGCACACACTGGTGTGAATGAATCAAGCGTCTTTGCATTTGCTAAACACCTATGTGTGTATGGGTATGTCGCAATAAAAGTTCGCTGCTTTATTTCTAAAAATTAATATTTACACAAAAGCATAACTGTTTGCATTTAATACTCGGTTGTTTATTATTAATATTATTTAATAACTTTTTACATTTTTTTTTGTATAATTGCATTTATTTTTTTGTATAATTGCATTTTGAAGGCGTTTTGATCACTAATTTTAATGCGGCTCTTATTTGAATGCTTTTAGTTTTCACACGTTGTGGTTGTTGTGCTCCTTGCTTTTCATATAACCGTATAACTACGTTTACATATGACTGTATGCATGTGTGTACAAATGTACAATTGTATATGCACTCTTAAAAAGGGGATGTTTCTTCAACTCGAGTCAAATCAATTTCTTTTGGTTATAGTTACTTAAAATAACATATAATTGCCTTCTTACAGTCTTTAATAATATTAAGGGCTAAATATTTCAGGACTGATCTCTATTTGTTGGATGACATCAAGGCACGAACCACGGATGGGAGGAGAAGCAACTAATTGACAAGTGGAACAACTTAGTGAACAAAGGAATAATTGCGTTTGTGTTGTAAGTAACAGATATGAAATAGAGCATGGTTGAGCAGTTAAGCGCCAAGTATCAAAAATTATGTATAGTAGAAAGATACTAAGAATAACTAAGAACGGGAATAACGATATATAAAGAAATCAACTATTCTGCCTTCCACCTTTGCTCCTTTTATCTAATTTTGATGTGGAATGGTGAGATAGTTTTAATAGATTTTCAGACATTTGATTTAGGCAATTAGTAATTAAGTAGACAAATAATTTATTGACTCAATTAAGATATTGTCTGGAACACTTATCACACTACTCTTCTAGGATCAACCAAACTATCATGCAATTTGAAATTAACTGAAATACAAAGTCTTATTGTATAATTCTTACTAAATCAACATGTGTTTCTTTGGCTATGGATATACGAATAAGAATGAGTGGGGTGAGCTGGTGATTGACGACCAGAACTTACTAAATGTATTTACCGCCTATATATAAAACTTTCAGACAGTCCATTACATCAGACAATTGGCAAATACGTAGAGACAATTTGGCAATTGTTTCTAATTACTACAACTATTTGATCAACAAATTATCCACCTTTCTATGTATTTGTACATAATAACTGATTAAAATAATTTAAAATTATAAAAAAAATAGTTCTTTTTACCCATTTTCAATTTTCTATAAATATATATCTCCTAAATTAATTTATTTAAGTCTAACTACAACTGCTTGGTAGCTGTTGATATTTTTTGATACTCTAGTCAACCCCACTGACACAGAGTTGAAAACCGTAATACCGAGAAAAGCTGAAGTTTCACAACCGGCATTTCAAAACTTCAACCAAAATGCAGTTGGGTGGAAACCCGTAATAGGGGCCAAAGAAACGGAATGGACCATAAAGGAAAGAACAAACAATTCCGTCATTTGGAGCTCAAGTGCGTCTAATATAAGGTTATATTGCATTCATGTGACTGAAACCAACAACCAATTGCCCTAGAACTAGCTAATACTTCTCTCATTTCATGAGATTCGCATCGTAATTTATCACCACTGTCACATTAAACCTATACGTATAAGCGAAATGACCCCTACGGCAAAGATAGAAGAATTCTGGATAACATCAACAAAATCGAAGCACCACGCAACTTTGCAAAAAAAATGAAAGCAAATAATACAACTATATTTAGGCAAATTTGAGTTTATGTATCTATAACCACATGTTTGCCTCTACAAAAATTTTAAATTTATTCAATCTTCATTCAAATGTGAGCGCTTGCTGCAGTTATTAACTTTATAATATATTAAATTTATAATGCATAGCTTTTTCCAATTGAATATTTATCACAGCAACAATTATTTATGCATATCATTTAATCCATTATTTGGTAGTAATTTCCTAAGACCTAAGCTTCCTCCTTTTCCAGTCGTATCTGCATAGGCATGGGTATGTGTGTGTAACTTAAGACGGGTTTAATTTGGAGCACAAACTCAGTAATTCCGCGTAGAGATTCAATAGATTGTACGCGAAGCATATGTACACAGTATATCAGATGAAAGTTATAGTAAAATAAAACGAAATAATCAAAGCAGAAGGCAAGTGGCTCATTAAGAAGGATACGGGATACGGGAATACATCTGCAGGTTAAACTGCGCTTTTCTCTATAAAAAGCACAACAAAATATTGTCTCGCTCGTGCCCTACAAATAGTAAATGTACTATTATACGAGCACATACTCGTACATATGTTTATGTATTATTTGCTGAAATTCACTCGGTTGGGAATTAGAACCGAAATGGCTGGATAATAAATTTTATAAGGGAGTCATGTTTCAAGAACTGGGTTTTCTCAATATGCGTACTAATAATTTTTTAAGTATTTTAGGTTTTCAAGTTTAATTTAGCTTTGTGTTTGCTTATATGTACATATGTATAATACATATGTGTGTATATTCAATAACAATTTGCTTAGGCGTTAATTTATAAAATTTGATTCGTAACAAAAGCTCGCTTATATTTTCTTAAATATAAGTACCTACATTCTTTCCTATGCGACAATTTGTCATTGTTACTATTATTACAAGTATTATAATTATAATTATTTTTTTCTTATTAAATAATATTTTTTTACAATTTTAAGTAAGCATCAAAGCAGCGGTACTAATATCGGCTCCTAATTAATAATTTTATGTCAACACTGCTGTAAAGAATTATGATTTTCTATATTGGAAAATATGTATTTTAAATAATTTAAAATCTATAAATAAAATAACCTGTACAAAGGGGAAAGCTCTTAGTATAAATCACAAAAGTCCCAATATGTGAGCAAATTAAATTTTGGTAAACCATAATAACTGTACAAATACTATTTCCTTTTTCGCATCCGTGAGACGCGTTATCCGATTTAACTCAAATCCGTCTTATTGTAGGGCCTGTGAAGAAAACCGACACTTTCCGCTTGAATTTCTCCATGGGTGGCTCGTGATCTGATTCACTCTCGTAGCCATCACTCTCGTCGTCTTCACCAAAAATGATAGTTCGTGTGTACGGCTGCACTGGCTCAGAGCCATCCGACTCACAGAAACCCGGATTTAGTATTATATTCGGTATAAGCTCTATGCCTTCCCAACCATTTTCGAAATCTATATGTTCAACAGGAATTCGCGATACGTTTTTGAATAAGTCGGCGATATATATATAGTAGTGCATAGAGAAATTGAGAGTGTACATATACATATATGAGTTGCATTAATGTTATTTGTTGCGATTATTTTTATTTTCATATTGCGTAAATAATAATTAATTAGATTTGAGTGAGATTTTTAGTGAAAAAGAGAGAGAGAAAGAGAGAGACGCATTGTGGAATGAAAAAGAGAAGAATAAAGAAAAATTGTGTTTTGAAAATGCCGTTAATCCCATTTTATAACTGTAAAATTTAAATGTCATTTCTGTTGGTTTTGATGTTGATGATGGTGGTGTGCGCATAGGGCAGAGTGACGGGACAATGGTTGCCAATGATGACATTATAAATTTCTCTTTTGGGTAGCAAATGACTAAAATTAAAAATAAAAAAGTAAATAAATGTATATACAGAAGCAGTTTCATCAACGAATGCAATAATGTATTTTTATTATATATTATATTTCAATTCTATCAACAACATCAACAACAGCAACGACAACAGCAATATATTAACAATGACAACAACACACATTATACAATTCATTTCAACATATTTACAGATAAGGTAATTATTTTACAATAATACATAGATATTTAATTTTTGTATATTCCTTTAACTCTTTGCTCTAAAACAACAACAAAGCTTAATACTAACTGAGTGAAAAGTGGAAAAGTGTAAATCGCATAAACTACCGTATTTTTAGTACACGTACTTATATTTATTGTATAAATACAAAGCTTTTGCCTAAAAAATTTTCTTTTTTAGTTCATTGATTGTCCATTTAAAATGTAAGATTTGTTTAAATTAAGTGTTTTTAGCAATTGCTTAAAATCATAAGCTAAGTTTATATACATACATCCACGTTTCAAACGAAAACAACAATATTGCAAATAGTTTTATACAGAATTAAATTTTCAGTTTTGATTTATGAATTTGAAGTGAGGTTCATCCCATAAAGTGGATAGTACCCACTTTACCTCAAACATCAAGATAAAGTAAAAACCCTAAGGATATGATTACGTGTATGTTTCAAATCAAAAACTGGTAAACTAATTATGAAAATTTGAAAATAATCGAACTTTTTCCAATTATAAAATACGGACGTCGTGTATTGTGGTCACAGGAGCTCCTGCGCCTCTCTTTTCAACTAACCATCACCACGAAAAAAATCAAATTGCCCCTCGGCAATTCATACATGTACAAGATGTATACATGAATACATATTTGTACTTGTTTATTAGAAAGATATGTAGATGAGCCAAAATATATTCAGCTACTCTTGGGGTAAGAATTCTAGGTACTATCAAAAACTAGGATGACCCCTTTTTCGAATATATCAAGAGCTCTATATTGCCTCTTTATATATACTATATATCTTTCCTCAACAAAATGGTTTTAAAATTTTCTTATATATGTGCTGGAACTTACTGTACTTCATAATATACCTAAAAATATAGGAATGAAGAAGGTACAAGTACAAATAAATAAGTGTGCAGGACATTTCTAGATTAAAAATTAAAGCAAATTTTATTACATGTATATTTTTATATTTGTTAAACCCGAATTTCGAGCAATTAAATGTGCAAAATGCTAAAGGGGTGTTCAGATTGCACTCGCTACAAATGGAATGTAAGTTTTAAATCTGTTGCTGTTGTTATTATTGTATGTGTCTTTTATCAACCTTTGACTTATTACAACCACAAGCTGACAGGTATAGACACGAACCTAGAGCAAGTGTACCAAATCGAATAAACGGGCTTTAGGACTTTATACACTATTTTGAAAGATCAAAAGTTGGTATGATTCTCAAAACTTGAAATAATATTTCAATATTGAAAGCTTCGGAAAGATTCGGATTTATGAACATTACAATAATAAATTATAATTTATTTGCTTTTTTCTTGAAGTTTAAACTTTTTTCTGCATAATTTTCCAATTTTTTTTTTCATGTTGGACATAATATGTCACAAAATTGGCTTTATGATTCTTTTATTCTATTAAAAGTGCAATAACTCTCTTAGCAATTAAGCCAGCAATGCAAAATTATGTGGTCAGCTTGATATTAGGTTTATAAAAATTGGACTTTGGACATTACCACTTTTAAGCAAACTAAGGACTTCAGACTCGCTTCTTTTACGCAAAATTTCAATTAAATGTGTTATGGGAATGTATAATATACATTCATATGTTATCTCATTATCAGCACAAGTACACATGTGTAAGTATAGCGGTCCATTTTATCTACAAAAATACTTTTTTTTCAAGATGTGTACTACTGGGGGTATACGTAATTTTCGAATGTTGATTTGGTTGAACTTGTCGCAAGCGATCTGAAACACCCGATATGCAAACAATAACCAATATTTACACATTTCAATCATTGCAACGTACTATGATTATAGAAACATACATGTATCAAAGCAAAAGTACTCATATATTTAAAATTGTACATAAAGCAAAATAAAATAATAATGAAATAATAAAGGGCGAACAACAAAGACGCGTTCTAATTGAAATTAAGCCATGACAACAACATTCAAATTGCGTTCAGCATCTGCATTCGGTATATTACGAGTAGCTATAGCACTGGTGGTGGTGTAGTTAGTGTTAGTAGTGATAGTGTTTGTAGTATCTGTATTATGGTTAGTACCCGCTTGCGATGATTGATAACATTCTTTCGATAAAACTATACATAGTCCAATTGCTAATATCACAAGAGTTCCAAGTACAACACTGACGGCGATTATCCAAATGCGCGGATCGAAATTATCTAAGTCGGGTTGTATAAGGCGTATTAAATCTATATAAGAAAGAAAAAGATATAAAAAAGAAAGATACGTGGAAAGGCGAGTTACGAACAATAACACACAACAAAATAGTAAAAGTTACAGGAAATAATAGCAAAAAGTCATATTCATGTTAGTTTCCATACGCATATGTTGGTAATGTATGTAGATATCTATGGTTGTATGGCTATGTGTATGTTTGTGTATATGCATGTATATATGTTGAATGATAGACACATTTACAGATACATCTTTAAAATCTACATACATTTAGTGAAATCTGGAAATTACATTTTGTTTATGAATTACATAAGAGTGTAGAAATGACAACTTTGGGGCTGGACGAATATTGTAGGGGTTTTATGTTTAATGAACATAAGAAGTTATTTCTTGAGTAATATGGCAGAGTATTCGTAAAGAGTTCCGAAAATATTTAGTGATGTTTAGCCGAATTCCATCATCGAATTCAGTGGAAATCATTATTCATTAACTTAATCAAATATCTTAAATGTACGGCAAATTTTCTAACGTAATTTAAATTTTAAATATTATTTTTGGTTTTTAACTTAGTTAGATCGATTCGGCAAGCTTTTCAAGTAAGCTGTCAGTACTTCGAAGATGAGGCCTTAACGGGAAAATTGTGAATAGTTATAAGAAAATTTCGCAAATTTTGGTTTGTTAATGCCAAAAATTTATCCATCTTTCACGAATTGAGAGACACAAGTGACAGTTTGAGTCCCAAATTTTCTGTTGGAGAGAATCAATTTTTTATGAAGCTAGCTTTATTAAAAATCGCAATTTGAAGTTTCTTATACTCCATGCATGTTCTTGAACCAGCAAAATAAAATTTTGTAAACAAACAGACATTAGACATTATCTTCTTTTTTCGATTTCGCAAGTAATTAAATAATTTTCGTTCCAAACCATTTTATATATTGTTTTCTTTAGGATATAAATTACACCTAGAGATTTGTAATTTTGCAATCGAACACAATTATGATTTATTACTGAAACTGACTTACACATAATAAGTTTGCCATGTCCTTCCTATCTCTTATTCACTTCAATGAAACACATATTTATACATTCATTGCCATTGTTCTAGCCGAAGATCGCTTTTTAAAAAAATTTGCATATTCCACCCTAAGGTGTCCAAATATTACAAACAACTATTTTATGAGTACATAATATTGATCACGCACACAATTTGTAGCAGTTGAACACAATTATGTGTGTACGTATATGCAATTTGGCTTAGTTAAAAACTACCTATAGAAGTATTATTAAGTGTCTTCTGTATTAAATTGCAACCACACTCACCCTCCTCTTTGGTTTCGGGAAGCGTTGTTACATTGGTGGTAACAACCTCGCCGCTGCCTAACTGGTTGTTGGCCCATATCCGAAATTCGTAGGTAGTGTTGGGCTCTAGGCGATATACCTCCATTTGCCGCTGATACCGTCCGTTGATATTCGGTAAAACGTTAATGCAAAAATCATATGAATATATTATTTTTGAGATAAATAAGTTAGTGCGACTCTTATCGAGTCGGTGGCGGCAAAGATATGAAATGAATGCAAATAAAAATTATAACACGCAAGTGCTAAGTACCAGGGTTGTTTTCCATTGCATGCAAATGAAATAACGGAAATATTTAGCTCATGTCATGTGGACGTAATGGCCACTTGCCATCGAAATATTTGCATTACCTACTATATACTACTTGTATATACAGTGCACTGGTACTGGCATTGTAACGATTGATCAATTCCAACGAGAATGTTTAGAGAGACAATAAACATGGACTAAATCGTTGGTCTACATATATTCGTGTAGGTGCATTTTGTAACTTACAACATTCGGTGCAATATTAATTGGGTCCATGCGACTCCATTCGTGTTCGAACGATTGGTTGTAGGGTGTCTCATTGTACGAAACATTGCGAAATTCGGCAGTAAAGCTGCGCACCGGGTAACCACCGGAATTGGTTTTGTTAAAACGCCAGATAAGAAAGCCCAGAATAGTGGATGCTTTGAAGTAAAGTTGTGTAACAGGCCCTGGCGGTGTGCGCACGGTCAAGTTGACCTTTTCGACAGCTTGGTACTCCTCCGCCTCGGTTTCTTCTTCGCTCTTATTACCATTATTTGCTTCTGTCTTCCGTGCTGTGTCCGGTGTAGGCGCTTTCATTGTTTGGCCACTATTGTTTAAGGTGGTGGCTTTGTCAGCTTTTGAAACTTGCTGCGCTGTCGATATGTTCACTGTGTTTGCATTTGTGTTTGCGTTTGTGGCTGTGGCTACGGCTATTGTGGGCACTGGCATTGGAAGCGATGAGGTAGTTGAAGCATTTGCTGCACTCATGTGCACCATTGTTGATACATTTATATCTTCTGACGATGATGAGGTTGACGATGATGACGTTGATGTCAATATCAATGATGACGCCGTCGTTGGCGAGGCAGATGTAGGCAATGATGCTGTTATTGATTTTCTCTGTTCATTTGTTGCTTGTGCATTGGAGCCGGTATTGGGGGCGGAAGCTTGACGAGGCGGAACCGCAGCAAAGCACACGTACAGACCACGTTCGTCGGTCGATACATTGGTCAACACCAAAAACTTTCCTGTCTGCAATGGAGAATATGATTTTTAATCTATTAAATTATACCCTTGTATTATATACTTGTATACAAGTATGTATACGTATTCAAATATATGGAAAAAATTAAAAAATTTAAATTTGAATTATTATTAGCGCAATTGACAGTGATTACCGGACTTCAATGAACAATGATACACGGCGTATCAGTAATCTCTTCTTAGGGCACGAGGGGCCAGGTTAAACTGACTTATTGGGGCAATAGACCTTAACAGCTGTTTTGCAACATATATTTCAGCGTTCTAGTGGGCAAAGAAGCCACTAATAAATGCTATTACTTTGCATAGTTCCGCTAATCGGAACGGACTCGGATTTATATCCATCCAAGAACGGTCAACTTGACAGTTCTCCTCATAAATATTGGGAGGGGAGAGGGGCAATGGTTTCAGTCGCCACTATCCAAACAACAACAATTAGTAATTTGATACACTTCCGATTGCAATTGTACTGCGCCTCTGACTTGGAATTTTGTGTCTTCTGAAGTGGAAATAATTTCAATGCCTGACCACTTGCCGTTGCCTTGCATAATACGTAAATTTACAATATTTTCAGCCGCAAGTCTTTACGGCTGCTCAAATTCGAATGTTTGAATCCGCTTCAAATGTAGGTATGTTTGTGTATAATAGAATATGCTTTAGTTCGGAGTGCCACGAACGCACAGATATTTGTTATCAGATTGTACTTATATTAGAAGCCACGCGTTGCATGTATTTAAATATTATTATGCCAATAGACTTATGTAATGTAATATGAAAATAAATGACCATTTTCTCACCTGTATTATGGTGCTATTGTTGCCGCTTTCCTTAACCCACATAACGTTGCCCTCCGCTGTGCAGGGTATGGAAATATTTTTGCCTTTATCGGTCACGTATTCGTGGTATTTTATTGACGATGTTAAAACCGTTAGAACTGCATTGAATGAAATACAAAATATATACATATATATATATTATGTGGTTACATTTATTATTACTTGCTTAATTGTATAAGTACCCAAATATTCAAAAAGGAGAACGTTTAAAGTTTATAGGACAGCAAATGTATAAATAAACAACCGGGGTTAAAGCACAGTGCTGAGAAAAATCTCATACCTTACAACTATTGTGCTCAGAACACTTTAAAAGCTTCTAAATATGTATGTGGATATAAAGTTGCTCAATCGCCTTCTTGATCTCATGGAAAGAGCACGGTCGGCGCTTATGAACTAAATATTTAATAGTTTATAAATTATGTACATTCAACTATTAGGGCAAGGGCCGACGTCCACTTTTCAAACTCATCAATCAATCATCTCCTCATACATATTCACAAGCAACGGTTAGGCGAACACACGGAGCATAAAACATATTGTGACTATCTTATGCAGTGACCATAAAGCTTCTTCTTTAAAGCGTGTCAAGGAAGTCTATTATAGATCTATATCATTAATAGTTTCTAATCCAAAATATTTCAGAATAATATCCAGCATTATAGGTATATTAAGCCAAGAAATTAAATTGGATAAAATCTTCGAATTATTTTTTGAAACATAACTTCGTAATATGCAGATACTATGTAATGTTCGATTTTGTTTAAAAATAGTTATTTTCCAAGTGCTTTTTTGTTTTTTTCTTTTACGACGGTCAAATTCATTCTATAAAAATCTTTGTCTAAAATTTAATCAATACGTCTATGACGTACAGATTCAGAATCGTTTATGTAAAAAATATTTACTCTTAGTATTTACGAATGCTTATTTTGCACGCAATCGAAATGTCAGAGGTGAAAGCAGAAAAGTTGATAAAATGTGTATGTATTTCCACTTCTTGCACCCCTTTTATCATACAAATAGCGCTATAGGCCATACTACCCACCGGCAAGTTTTTGTTTTCAATTTTATATTACTATTGTTGTATTGTAAATACAAACCGACTTTATTAGATAAACTTAGACTTTAAAAGTAAAAAATTTTGAGCTTTGAGCTCAGCTGTCCGCACATTATAAAAAATAAGATTTGTGAACTCGAACATTATAAAACTTAATTATGAAATCGACTGATAAATTACGGCCCCCCTGTTTTACAGCAAGACGAACATTTTTTTTTTGCAGAGAAATCTTTATTATGGACATTAAGAAATTTTCAAACATTAGATTCTTACGTTCTCATAACACGATCGTATGTGTATGTAGAGCAATTTCGATGATTGCATCGTTTATATTGTTAATATTCTTATATATTGGGGAACTGTGCAGTTTTACGTGACGTAAGTATATGTGTGGGTAAATATACCATGTGCCATTTAACTATAAATCTATTATTTACCATAGCACAGTGACTAAGGAATACAACTTATTTTCTCATTATTTAGGTATGAATCTTTCCGCCAATGCCACCGCCTATGTTTGCCCACAACAAACATTGAAATGTAGTATAACCACCAGTAATACGTAGCCCTGTTAGTATGCTTGTAGCATTGCTTTTCCTGAAGCTTTTATTTATACTGTAAATTTTCGCTACACTAAAGCGAGTCGGTCGCTATTTTGTTGCTCCTTGAGCCGTTGCTTCTATTTTTTTACGTTCTTTTAACTGGCGCGTATTTTTGTAGCAACGGTGGACACAATGCCGACCATCGTCATTTCCTTCCATCGGCTAGCCATGGGGCCAACGATCACCAGCACAGCGCCTCAGCCATCGTTAGCGACCATTCAATAGGAGCATTCATGCCTACAAGCAATAAAATGTGGCAATGTGTGCAGTTGAAAAAAACTGAAGCAAAACAAAAGCGAAATCCACACGACAACTGACTTTGAATTACGTAAATTGATCAATTGATTTTCCCTACTTTTTGTTGTTGTTTAATAATATTCATAAATAAATGGCATTGAAAGGTGGAAATTCGCAATATTTACGGCCATGGATTTGCCGGCTGAACACAATCAGAAACTAATTGTACCTTAAAGTAAAAACAACAACAGGACAGACCCACACGACGAAGAGTACTTGAAAAATATACAAGTACATACATACATACATATGTGTATTTGTAATGTGTACATATTAAATACCTACAATATATAATATATTATATTTAAACTTGAAAAACTAGCGACTATATTTAAACACCAAACAATGGAGTGCCCAATATCTTCGCTGATATTAACTTTTACCAGAAAAAAGGCTTTGCGCCACATATTATTTAATTATAATTATGATTTTATATGGTTTAAATGTCAACTTTTTTGGAAAATACTATCACAAATGGAGTGAGGATATTATTGGACCCACATATTTAGGTATTTGTTTAGAAAGTCCTGTTTGCGGCATTAAGTGGTACTCGATGGATTACGGATTCGAAATCCGAAATTAGCTCGAAAAGGTTTAATATTACTTAACAGAATCGAACCTTTATAACTCATATATAGGTAACATATATCAGTAATGTTCCAAAACTAACGTTATAACAAATCTCGCGCTGGAAATTAAAAAAGCTCGGTGAGCTAGTCCTCTACAACATATTTAAGATATAGCCCACAGAATAAAGATAATAAGTGTGAAAAGAATGCACTAATAAAATTTTAAATAGAAAAATCAAAATATTACACCACCCCCTTTTTATCGAAGTATACACGTATGCCATTAAAAACTATAAAAATATGAAAACTGTTATATTGAGTGTATGATTATCAATTGTTCGATAATTTGCTCTGCGTAATATTGTTAACAAATCTAGTTACAGAAATGTTGATTGTAGCTGCTTGTTCTGTGATTATAAAAATAGAGCTGGACTTGGGCCGGCAATTGCTGTGTAGCAATTTACTTAGCTATGACGGCAAGACTCATTGCCATTTTACTCAACAAATATGTTCATTTTAATAAACAAACAGAAGAGGTAAATCCCAAAGCTACACTGTTGACACCAAGCGACACGATTGTCATGAATTCAACCAGGTGTGACGGTATTGTATTCTGTATTCTATTCAACAACATACCAATTTTACGAACAAAATGTAGATATACCATTATAACCTTCCATTATGCAGGCATACACAGATGCAAACTGGGATTTAGTTATAGCTGTAATTATTTATTGTTTGTTTGACAACGTGACAATTTCGAGCTAAAAACCGCTACAAGTGAATATATATGTAGGTGGATGTGTGCACCGGAAGGGGCTAAATGGAGACTGCAAAAGGTTCAAATGCATTATAATCAAGACTTTTAAACAGGAGATTTGAATTACGATGTAAATGTTTCAAAGGCAATTATGTACAGGTATATATGAATTAGCGACATGACATCTCGATTGGTGAATACAATTTATTTGCAACGGAAACTTAAATATTAAAACTAATAAGCAGTGTATTCGCAATTAAAACGTTATCTTCATAGACTGGTGGAGTAATGCACAGAATATAGTATTTTGCAATTTCGAAATTGGTTAAAAGCCCAAAATAGTGCAGCTCCGCCACTATTACACATAAACAGCTAGAATATTATACCAATATGCGACTAGGTTTATTAGCCAAATAGGGAAATAATCCCGCTAACGCCAACCTTACGCTTAACGCTCAATTTCATATGAATTACAAAGCCCTTAAAAAATGTCAAAATTTCTGGGTAGGAAAGTATGTCAAATATGGTATATACAATACAAGTCAACTACCAACTAGTTTCAAAAATACGCCTAAACATTTTTTTGGTAGCAAGCCTCATAAGTAACAATATCAGGTCAGAAATATACTTCATTCATCGCTGTGGCCCCAAGTAATTATTTTGTCCCAGCTAGGCTTTGAAATCACGTCCCTCCGAGTAAAAGGCATTCACCCGAGTACTATATACTTGTGCATTTTCTCGTGTAAATACATGCATATACACGTATGTGCACGATGACAGTGACATACGTAATAAATGCGTGTTGCCACTTCCGCCATAAAGGCGCCGCAGAAACACTAGCGTTAAACAATGGTAACAAGCGGTTTTATGATATTTAAAAGACCGGAAAAAGAGCAGTGAGCGCAGGGTACTCGTAACTGCTTTGGGATGTGAGACATGAACTTGAATGAACTAATTACAACTGCAACAGAAGGTAACACCACAATTTGCAAAAGCGGAGATTCTTTACAATCGTGCTGGATGTGCTCACTTGCGTGCAGGTATATAAACGAGTGAATGGATGATTTTGCCACCATCTACATTAGTGTAGGTCAAATAGTTGGAAGGGAGATATGAATTTTTCTATTTGATAATAAGAAAAAAATAGAAAACCGTTAGGCGACGAATCTTCCAGTTACAATTAAGAGCTCATACTTGGAGAGCCTTTCGTAGAGGTCTTATTCTAACGTTAAAAAGGAGTTAAAATTAATTTTTGCATACTTATATTCATATAAACATGGGCTAAATAACACCACTAATATTCGAATAACTTAGATGAAAAGTTCTTAGATTCCTGAGTGTGCGAGCAAAAACGATCAGATGTTTTCGAAAAAGTTGTATGTGAAAATATAGATTATTGGCACTATCTTTCCTTTCAGTTGAATTTGTATATAAAATTCTTGTTAAAAAAGATCCAGAGCAAGCATTATTATTGGAGGATCTGCTATTTGTAAACATGTGTAATTTATATGAAAATATAAATGCATTAAATTCATCTATACTTATATACCCAACGAAAGTAAGCGCATGATGTTCACACTGAGTTTTATTCAATCTTCTTATGTAAATTACTATCATAATAATTTCACCCACAACATTATCATCCATATTGCCACCACATCAGCCTAAGTCGTGTAGTATTCCTATGCGGAAGATGCGGTGGCCTAAAGGGCATGTTTGCATTATTTGAGCGTATTTAAAATTCCATCTAATTTCCCTCGAAATAAAGGTCATGTACGTCTGCCTGAATTCTACCTGTTGTTTAGGCGAATAAACT